ATCTGAAGCTTCTTTTATCAGTTCCTTTTCCACTTATAGTAATTTCTGGTCTTACTGAGTTAACTATGTTAATTTTTTTTAGATTTAATGTGAAGAGAGTCTATGTAATAAAGATGGAGTGAAAACTTATCAACACATACTTTTTCATATGCAGTTAATTTTATTATCTCTTCTGCACAAATCAGACATTCTTCATAGTCTTTATGTAAATTTGTCAGCCATCAAATTTAGAAAACAGCTCTTTAATTTAGTTAAGATAGTTTCAAAACTGTCTATAAAAAAGGCATTATATTTTGAGGAATCAGAATTTTGTACTTTGCAGTAAGAAATAGTCTTCTAGTAATGAGGTCTTCAATGACAATTGACTTGGTAAATGCCAATGCTTACCTGAGGAACGTAAGGTTTTCAGAGAGGAGACAATGGAGAAATTTGTGACATCAGACCAGGATTAGTTTCAATTTCTCCACTTAAAAGTAAATAATAACTTATTAGTTTCAACTCAAATAAGTTAGAAAATATTGTAGAACTTATAATAGAGTTAAAAATATCAAAGTTGAATTTTACTAACACTAAGACTAAGATGAGAAACTCTTAGCACCAAGGCAGATTAAACAGCATCTCCAATAAAGCAGAAAATTAAGATTTCATTTGTAGACAAGTAAAATCATCTCCAAGTATAACAGTCATCTGACAAAGGGCCATCTAGACATAGAGTCTACGTTTAATACTAGTCTTTGTTAGAATTAATCAGAAGCAGAATTGATTACTTTTAAGAATCCACAATTTTCAAGGATTGAATGAGTTTCTGAGAACGGATTTAAAGAACAAACAATGTATTTAATTCATTAAATAACATAACTCAGAGCTAATAGTTTGCCTTGTAAGAAGTAGTTAATAACTAATTAATACCAAGTATTTGAAAACAAGTTGATTAAAATTGTTGATAATTACAGAAATTGAAGTAAATGACTAACTAGAATATTAAAATTCCTTGAGAAGCCAGAACAGCTTAAAATAACTTGCTCTCTGTATTACTGTAATGTGATTAGAATTTCTGGTACTAGGTTTTGTACTTGAATTGTTCACTGTTGTGTGAACTCAAGGATTACATTTGAGAAGTATTTGAATACATAGCACAGTTTTGGGGCAACGAGAACTTTTTGCAATCAAATAGTTCTCAATTCTTGCATTCAAATACTCCCATCTTTAGTTCAGATCACTTTGAAGTAATTTGAATTAAGCCTAATAATAAAAGTGATTTTACTATAAAAAATGAATGTAACCAGCTGTTACATTTTCCTGTAGTTTAAAGCTAAAAGAAACTAAAAAATACTAAAACCTTTCCAAAATAAAAACTTAGCAAAACAGAAAAATTAATTTAGTACCATGCTTCCAGTTTACACAGGTTTTACTGTATTAATATATGAATCAGCACATTTTAATCTTTATAGTCTTGTCATATATTTTTTTAATCTGTTATAATATATATTTAATTTCTTAGTTATATAAGAGTAAGCATATTATTTAATTATTATTTTCCTTTATAAAAGGTATATATTTATTATTATTGTTGTATTCTTATACACAATCTCATTCTTTTCAACCTGATTATTTCAAAGAATAACTAGATATTGTAAAATAAATGAGTTTTTAATAACAATTCTTTTACTTACTATAAGTATGAAAACTCATATTTATTTTCTATTTTAAACTGTTTTGTTTAAACTATTCAGATAGATGCATCAAGGTAATAATGCTTGGTGATTATTTTATCAAAGCAGACACATGCAAATTTGAAATTTAAGTATTTTTCCTATAGAATATATTATATGTTTGTGTTATAAAGTTTTCAAATTTTTATAAAACATTAGCATTTATTAAGCATAAGCATGAATTGGAAAATTAAATACAGCAATAAATTTTAAAAATCCCATCTGCACATCTGAATAAACAACTTGAGATATGCAGGTGAAATTGTTTCAAAGATGCTGAAAAGATCAAAGATCTTCAAAGAAGAGGCAATGAGATTTATACTAAATTTGAATATTAGAAAAACAAAATGTTTAGGGAGAATCACATAAAGAAACTAGTTATGATAAATGGAGAAGAAATTCAGAATGTTGAAACAGTAAATGATTTCAACTCCATTTCTGTGAACTTTCATAACTATGTTTTAATTTTGCAAATGATTGCTTTTGTCATATGTGGTCTGATGTTATGCTGTAATATCACACCTAACCTGTTGACAAATATAGACAAGTTTCATGTCTCTTCAATTGCAAAACAGATCTTTTTTAAATACAAACTCTCTTTGGTGCAAGATCCATTTCTTGTAACATGATTCAATCCAAAAAAGATTGTTTTTCTTGTCAGTCAAAGATGAGCAAAAATTTATCTACTCTGACAAATTGATTAGAGCTCATGGAACATTCATTTTCTGAGGTTAGAAACTTTTCCAAGTGCCTGTAAATGTCAGTGCACAACTGTACAAGTTGTGCTTTGCATTCTGGGGTTTCGTAGTCTTGGCTTTTTTTTGTTCCTGGGACTCAAGACCTCATTTTACTTTCCCAGTTTTTATGTACACATAACAACGGAAAAAAATTTCGTGTGTGTGTTGGCGTCTATTTGGTTTAATATCTTGGAATAGAATAAAGATTAAGAAATGAAATTTGGCATCAATTAACTATCAGTACAATCAAATTTTTGATTGTACTGATAGTTAATTTGTGTATAAGAGGATGTGAGTAAATTCAACAAATCAATATTAATACAGTAGAGCCCTGAAAACTCGGCACTCGATAATCCGGCACTCCGGATAACTCAGCCACACCCTAGCAGGGCAAAAAAAATCCTTAGTTAATTAATTTTCATTATAGACAGCTTTATACCTCATAAAGTATTTTTCTGAGGTCTGTCTTATCAGGTAAATTACTGTACACAGTGTATTCATTAATTTTCATTTTCATGTAGTAAAGGCTCTATGCCTTCATAAAGGATGTACAGTACTTTTCCTTTGTTTAAGGGTATTTGGGCAGTTTATTCTCTGTTGTATTCTCAAGCAAACAATACATACAAGTACAGTACAATATTTTCTGAGGAAACACGCATACTTATCTTTTTTTAACCCCATTCCCGATAACCCGGCATTTTCACAAATTCGGCCATCCTTCGGTCCACATTAGGCCGAGTTTTCGAGGCTCTACTGTAATAATATCTTTCATATTTTAGAAGTTTCCTTAAAAATTCAAGAAATTTTATGATGACATAAAGGTTGAATAAAGTAACAATTTAGTTTGTTCTTTAAAAAAGCATTACTTAGAGTTATAATTTGTTTATTATTATGTCATTATATTTAATATGTGATGTGATTATAACTGTTATTTTTTCATGAATAATATTGACTGTTATCATTTGTATAGAAAATATGATTTGAAGTAATGTTGATGTATGTTTATTTGATATGAAAGTAAATCTGAGGCCTTTAACTTCATCTACTAAAAAGATATATCAAATTTTGGTATGTTTACATTAATGTTTTGAAGAAATAGATCTAATATATTAGAATGATATATATATGTATATATTTGGTATGTGTATGTTTATATACATACACTAGACAATTTAAAATTCAATCATCATGAAACTTGGAATATAGTTAAATCCAGTTTTGACATATTCTAATTCATGTGTAAGTTATCAATCTAGAGATGCTCTAGAAAACTGATATGAAACAGCAGAAAAGCTTCTTGCAATCATATCAGAAAAGGAGAAATACAGGATGCTTACTAAAATATGCCTGTTAATCCTTAAAATTAAAATATCTTAATAATATGCTTTGGCATAAATCTAAAAGTAAATTAGTTAAGAACATTGTTAAGCTCTTACCGATTTGATTAGATAAGTTATGATTTATTTTTATAATTTGTAATATTTCTTATATTTTTATTCAAAACAATAATTTGTAAGGTTTGATTAATGGATAATAAATTTTTTTGCTATTAATACTATATGTTATATAAATGTTAAAATGCATGGAACATGCAGAATAATTCTGAAATCCATTTATGTATTTAGAATCACATTTTAATTATTACAAAACACATTTATTTATTTAAATGTTTTGATATTATTAATCTAGCATTAAATATACAGTAAAAATTCCATTAACTGGAGTACTAATGGAAAGAGAATTGAAAATCAAGTATAATAGAATTTACATTTACAGCACTATATTTTTATTTATTTAACAACACAGATTCAATAGAAAACATTTTAATGTTTTTGCCATTATCCATTGTATAAGTAATTTAAAATTTTTTACTCTAAGGGTACATTTTTCCACTTAGTTGGCCATACTTTTAACATGAGACAGAACTGAAATTGAAATAGGAAATGGAAGATAACTGCATTTAATAATTAGAAGAATATGTACTATTATGTAGTTAGTTTATAACCCATAATAACTACATTTTCTTATCCTGTATTAGTAAGTTGTTGAAGATTCATTTTAAGTAATCTATTAATTTTTAATTGTTTAAAACAATCTTGAATGTCAAATCTTGGTTGATCAAACCTCAGTTAATGCAGTTTCAACTGTATATTTGGACAAACAAATTTTAAATCTTATGTTAATTGTCTTCAATAATAATATAATTATAAAAAGATTGTATGTTATCATACTATTTAATCTTGATAATGTACTGTACATAAATTATAAACTACATATTAATAATCAGAATACAAATTCATATATATGTAAATTAATGTATACTTATATATTGTATATATATGATAAAATAATTTTATCATATATATTTATTTGATGAAGTTTATCGTTTTATTATAGACCAATATTTTTAATTAAATGAAATGCAAAAGAAAACATAATTGTAAATTTTTAACTTAATAAAAAAAATAATTTTCAATATCTATATGTTGTACTTATATAGATTATATATATCAGCAATTTCATAGATTTAATATACAAAATTGCTGGTGCAAAATCCACATACTGTATATAATTCAAGTGTTACAAAAGTATTTTAATTTTTTAAAATTACAACATAATTCAATAATAAAAACAAGTAAAGCAAATACTTCTCCAGTAATCAAAATTAAAATAACTGCTTGAATATCACATATGCTAATAACAATATGTTCTTCTCTCTTGTTTATTCCATCTGTAGGCAGACAAGTAGTATTAGAATTATCCCAATATTGTTCAGTAAGCCATTTTATTAATCCAAATTGATGCATTTGTATTATCCTATGATTAAAATGTTAATAGTTAAATTATTAATGATTAAAACTGAAAAAACACATCACAACAAAAACTAAGAATTGATGAGAAAATCATATATGATACAATTTAAAAAATGAATAACATACCTATGATTGAACTGTTCAAAAAACACACTATTTTTTTGGAGTGCTAAAGCCCAATCTGATCTCTGAATGTAATCTTTACTAACATAAATATCACAGATATTTTCTTCTCTAGATTTCTGTCTCATTTTTCTTTCCAAAACTGCCTTTTCTGCTATCCAGACAATTGATGATTGACGAACCAACTCAATAACATTATCTGGAGTGGCATTGGCTGGGATTATTTCAAGTGAACTATCACCTATACCATTAAACAAACTGGAGTTCTATAATAAAAATATTTAAAAAAATGTACATTTTACAATTTCATTTCTTTTATATATATAATAAAATTTAGAAGTGCAGTATATAGTTTCAATATAAACATATGCTAAAAATTACATCTGTTTTAATTTTATATTTTTCTTAAAATAAACAATTCAAAAAAGCATTTTACTAAAAATAACATTTGCAGTCAATTTGTAATAATGGAATAAAATATTTCATCTGTGTAGTTTGAACTATAAGCAATATACTATCACATATTCATTTCTGTCTGAATATTTAACTTCTTAATTAAAATGGTATTAAAAGCAAGAATTGTACTGTTTTAAAATAGAGATTGCTTTTAAAAGACACAATTTTTGTTTTTATTCTCAATTATATTGTTACAAGTCAATATGTAATGAATTGTATCTTCAATGCATTTTATGGTTGAGAACAATGATTTTCATTATTTCCAAGACTTGTATCTTGGAACAAATTTCATACAACAAAAATTTAGACCTATATAAATTTAATGAAATCAGAAATTATTAGGTATTTTCATTAAAAACATAGGTTAATCAAATTCTACATATGCATACATTTCTATCCTTTTTGTTGGCCCTTTTCTATATAAACAACTTTAAGAATTTGTTTATATCCATATATTATGTATGATTATTATCAATTTAATCTTATTATATCAATTTGATATAATAAAGAGATGTATTTGTGATGTTGATAATAAAGGAATAAAAATAGAAAGCAAGTAAGTTAGTTGATGGACACCATTTATTCTTGCTAGTCATTAGGAACTTACTTTCTAATCTAATTTCTTTGATTTTGTTAGAAATCACTTTATTAGTCCTAAATGTATTCTGTATCTCAATTTTAAATCTTAAATCATAATCAAAACATCTTAAGAAATTATAGACCCAAATAGATAATAGAGATATAATACACATCTCAAACAATTTCTTATAATGTATTGGAGAAATGAAAATGTTTAAATAGGAAGCCAAATTAATTTTTTTAATATGTACAATCTTATGATAGTTTTTATAAATCTTTCAATGTGTTAAATTACATCAAAAATATCTTACTTAAACATTGATTCAACCTTTTCCTTCTCATAGGAAAGGGGGAAGGTTGATTAATAAGCAATAGATTTCTTTCATCTCATTTCTTTTCAAATCTTTAAGTAATATTTGAAGTCTGCTTTTATATTAACAAAACCTACAATTTATATCATAAATCTAAGTTGATGAATTCCACTAAAGACAAAAAACAAATCAATAAAAACTCATTTGTTTCTACTATCAATGATTAATATTCTTAGAAATATAAAATGCTATTTTATGTGAAATACTATATTCAATAATGCTAATTTTCTATCTGGATCAATTTGATAAATTCAAGCTAAATCTGTGGCTTTTATAAAAATAACTAAATATGCCAATCGAAATTAAGTGTTCATTAAGTCTTATCTACTACAAAAAATATTTTAAATTAATTAATTGTTTATATAGACATTTATATAAAAGAATTATGATAAATATTTTTAATTTCATTTATTCAGAACAACTTTCTAATCATTTTGATAGTTTATTATAACTTTTAACTTTACAATTGTAGGATACAGTTAACAGAATGATATAAAAATATGTTAAAAAAATAATATAGCATACTAAAAAGCAGTTGCTAATGCTGTTGCAGTTATTTTTTTCATAAGAAGTTTTTTCCTATACTACAAGACAATTTCACAAAGATTATTTTTATTTTTATTTATTTTAAATGAATGAAATAATTTCATACTATGCTATTTTTTATTAATAAAAAGTTTTATATATTTTATATGAATAGTAAATTAAGAATTTACATTAATCTGAAATTTTTTCATTCACTATAAAGAATTTAAAATTTACAATAATACAATTAGATGTGTTATTTAATATTTAAATTTTTAAAGTTGTAATCAAAAACTTGCAAATCTTACCGTAAAAGATAAGTAAGATCCTTCCTTTACACCAAACTTAAAATGAGGATATTTTTTTGCTACTTGAAACAAATCATCAATTGGTAGCTCTGTTTTATAAGCACTTAATGAAGAAGTTAAATTTCCACTGTAAACTGCAGTGAAAATGACCACAGCCAACCACCAGATTCCAATAATCAATCGAACAGATTCAAAATTAGGCAATGTATTGCAACCTGCAGATTAATTAAGAAATTAAAAAATAATAAAAATATTTTAGAAGTATATTTAATATTTACTTTTTCCAACTAATGTTCTAAATGCATAATTAAGAGCATGGCCAGCAAGGTTTGAAATACACAAATTATCTTCATTTCTTATTTTCTGATTGATGAATAATGAAATAAATATTGTACCAGCAATAATAAAACTGGTAACTATTATGAAAATCCAAACCTGGAAAAGAATTAAAAATAGTATTTTAAAAACTAAAACTCATAATAAAATATAATGTTGCAATATTAAAAATAAAATTTCAATACTTGATAAGAATATGTTTCAAATAATATCCAAGCTCGACTTAATGATTTTGGTGCTTTATATGCAAATGTGACATATTCAGGAAAAATAGGAAAAGTAAATTCAACAACTTCTGCTCTTTCTGGACTCCAAGATAAGTCAGCTGCTGCAATATCTGCCTTCTGAATTTTTGTAATAAAATCATTTATACATATGGAATATGATAAAATTAACAAATAACGAATAATAAATATTATCATCTATATCAGTGTTTTTCAACCATCAGTCCGTGAAAAAGTTCACTGGCTTGCAGCAACATATTTGGCCATATTGACACTGGCACAGTTGATTACAAGTGACATTTAAACAGTAATCTAGAGTTACTACTATACATATTTTTTTTTTATATACAGTAATTCTAGATAAGAGATAAGCACATACAGTATAATAAATAAGGATAATTCATAGTCACATTAATTACTGGTCCATGTAAAATTACCCATAATTTTACCTGTCCACAAAGAGAGAAAGGTTGAGAAACACTGATCTATAATATGTTAACATTCAGTATGGATGATGGTAGTTAGTTATATTCTTACTCAAATTAACGAAAAATACATCATCGTCATTTCTTGTTTTCTACCAATCTCAAATGAATAATAGAAATTTACATTGATTTGAACAGAAGATGAAATAAAATTGTGTTCCAATAAAACCTTCCAAGTCTTTGTGATAGGTGGAAATGACATTATTGTATTCCTCACAAGTCAAATATAGACATGTATAATATGATTATTCATTAATCTCCATATAAATATAAATGAATAGTTATCAATTTCTTACTTTTCAAAAATATCTATTATTAAATTTTATAATTTAATGTCAATAATTATGGAAAATCAATGCCTTTAATATTTATTTTATAAGAAAAAAATTGATAATTTTTTAAACTAAATCTTCATATTTATTTTCTTGTGTATTAAATACTGATAAATAAATAATATTTATATAAATAATAAAAAAAATCCAATATTGCAATAGAAACATTACCATCATCAAATGAGTATAAGACCAAAAAAAAATATACAGAAGTTTGACTGAAAATAACATGCATGCATTATTCTATATTCATCTATTCCTAAAGACTGCTTCTCTAGAGTTTACTCTCTCATTATTATCATCATTACCCAAGTACTTTAGTGTTCCTATAACACATCAAGGACATTAATAATCAATATCAGAAATTAAACAGTTATTAAATATCACATCTTCAGAAATATTACTCAGATTATAATGTATCTGTTAACACACACACTCTTTTCACACAAATTGAATAGATGAATATGGAAGTGTATAATTATATTAATGTACTATTCACATAACAATTTTATTTTTATATGAATTTTAATCAACAGTTTTGAAATGTAATGAAATGTATTAGGAAANATTTATTAGCAAAAACTAATGTTTTCACTACTTTTAGTAGTCATCCTCAAGATGACTACTAAAAGTCCTCAAGATGACTACTAAAAGTTATCTACTACTCAAGTTATATATGTTAATTTAAATTTCATGACAATTCTTCAATTCCTAGAGCCACCATTTCTATTGTTTTTGTTTTTATTTTAGGACAAAGAAAAGTATTATGATGATTTTAAGCTAAGTATTTTATGTATTAAATAATATATAAAATACTTAGCTTAAATATATATAAATATATATTTATAGATTAGATATAATGTTTTTGAATTGATGTAAAGAAATGTCACATTTAAGGATTTATGTTATAAAAATGTTTAATGGAAGCAGGAGAGTTAAAATGTTTTCCTTGTGTATTATTATAAATTAGGACAATATCAGCATCTATGCAGATTGTAAAATACAAAATTATTAGGAAAGGAAAAAAAAAAATAGATATTTTGCAAAATAGAATTACTTTAAAAGTATCATATCTAGTTTTATATCAGCATAGATGTCAATATTAATTTTAATATTACCATAATGCATAAATATGGAAACCTCGCTTTTCTTTATAGATTATAAGATTATACTCTTATAAAATAGCCTACACTTTCTTTACTTTTTAAACAGATTATAAGCTTCACTTTTCTTCAAACAAATTAATCAAAATAAATAAAAAAGAAAGCAACAGTCAATGAATATCTTGAAATACTTTTATACATCTAAATTAGTTATAAATTGTACTATAATAGTTGGCAAATAATTTTTCTCTGCCTATGAAATTAATAAGCTAATAAAAAGGAAAAAAAAAATCTGTTTTAATAGCATTTACTCTAATAACAGTTTTTCTCAAGCACTTTTGGACAACCAAGCCCATTCATTGTCAAGAGACATACATTAGAGTTGCTTCTCACTATTAATAATTTAAGCATTATTATTAAACATCTCATTATTAATAAGCTAATGTTACTTTTCAAACTAACTGCCATTGGATACTCAATTATCGAAACTCATAGTTCTGATCATAACAAAATTTTACAAATAAGTATTATTTCACGCTTAAAAATATACATTTAATTAATTAAAATATTATTATTTATTAGTACTTCACAAACATAGTAACTTACATCACATTTAATGCTATTTTGATTGTTCTTATTCAAAATAGCAACTCTGTCTCCTTCAGAAAATAACCGAATTAAATTTGAAAAATGGAAATCAAAAGTTTTATTGCTAAAAAAAATCCATTTTCTTTTAGTGCCAAAAAGTTTTAGTTGATTCTATATTAAAAAAAAAAAAAGCATAATTTATTATTAAAATATAATTCTGTAATCATGTTAAAAACAATATACTTTTCTAAACTTTTAAAATATAAATACTCCAGTTCATTTGAGTATTGTTTGCAGAAAGTAAAACATAGCCTTGTTTGTAGTTTTGAATGTGTTCCCATTGATAATTAACTATATTATCCTCCTTAATAATAGTTGTTTTTATACCAGAAACATGCAACTTTTTTATTAATAAACTAGTAGCTGAAAAGAAAAAAAAATTATAAAACATATTGTGTTTAAGAAAATAATTATATATATATATATATAGTCTATATTTATCTTGCCCTCTTCAAAACTGTAAACAATTGCAATATCATTCCATCCTGTTTGATTTATTAAATTATGTAGGATAGCCACACAATCTTCTGTAGTTATATCTTCTGAAAATAAAATTTATTTAGTATTAATTTATGATTTTTACAACACACAGTTAAGGAAGTTGCATTTTCTAAAATAAAAATCTGCTGATCTGTACCATATATTCTAAATAATACTATATACTATAAACAATAAAAGATACAATAGGGTTGAGGGGGGAAGTTCGATTTCCCCCCTTGAACCTCAAAATTAGTATTGGTATTAAATAATACAGTCCACCCCCTATAACACTGTTGATAATTGCATTTTATAAAAGTAAGAAACATTATCATTTTTTAATGATAATTTTGGAATTTGGTATTGCATTAAATCAGTAGTTCTCAAACTTCTTAGAGACACCATTTTTATTTGCAAAAAGATTCTTGCACCCTATATTTATTTTTTGCAAAAGCATGCTGACCTATAGTTTTCTTAGCATGTATTTTGTTCTAATAAAACTAACACTTTCTTATGGCTTTTTAATAGAACATAATTATATCTCAAATGAAACAAAAGTAAAATTCTATTTGCTAAATTTTAGTCATAACGACAATAATAACTCATCCGTATTCTCCTAGAAAGAGTCTCGTGCCCCAAACAGTTTATGAACTACCACATTAAATGCATATATAATTTATATATTATACAGTATTACTTCAATAAAATTTACTGTTATTGAAAAAATTAATAATATTTCATATCATTATAAAAACAATTCTCCAATTTCTAAAAAAATATTAAACAGATTACTTTATTGGTGAAAAATTGTAAATGAAACAGATATAAAACATTTTAAGATGTAAACATGTGTTCATCTCTAAAAGTTATTGAAATACAATACAACATTGGGCACATAATTTAAATACTTTTATAGAAATTTCTAATTTTGATGGTTAAAATTCTTTCTACGTTTGAATTAATCTGTAGATAAATCCTTAGAGCTTAATATTTAATTATTGTGTTATCTGTGAATTCTAATAAGGCAACTTATTACTTAAATATTTCAATATTACCTATCATTATTACAGTGAATCAGTTACATTCTGATTCACGTATAATAAAACGTACAATACAAATGGCTGGTAATTTTATTTCAGGTTATTTATAAATCTTTAAAATATTTTAACCGAAACAAAATTTTAAACATTTTAACATTAATATTAATATGCAAAATACTTAATAATAATAATGTAAACATTAACAAATTTAAAATTCATTTTTTGAATAACTTGAAATAAATAGAATTTAATGTAAATATTATTTTTTAATTTAATTAAAAGATATTTTTTATATTTCTTTCAGTCCTCATTTTAGTTAATATTTTTATATTTTTTAACATTATTTAAAAATTATAATTTCTAGTAATAGCTACAATTATAACAAATTATTATTTCTTTTTTAATCATATTAAAAACATAAAAAAAAATGTTTTACATATTTGAAAATAATCTTCAAATAATTATATTTCAATAATTCAAAAAAGTAAATAAATAAAATTTCAAGTTAAATCAATATAGACTTAAAAATATTTTAATATAAATTTTATTTTTATGGTTTGCTTTTTAATCTGATATTTTACTCAATGTATGTCTTTTATTTTCATTGGGCTGCAATTTGAAAAAATGTAGACCTATAAATCCCAGCCATCCATCTGTTTGTCTGTCTTTCCTTAATCTCGAGAATGTAGTTAGATAGATGAAAGTAGAGACCAGGTATGGAAACCTTAAGAGCAGGAAGCCCCAATTAACTATATACAAACTTACAATCTACACTATCATTGATTTCAATTCAAAAATTTTTCTCTAAAAAGGTGACAGATGAGAGCACGACTCTATTCTTAAAGGAAAAGTATGATGTATAGGGACAAGCCACTACTAATTTGAGGNAACGTACAATACAAATGGCTGGTAATTTTATTTCAGGTTATTTATAAATCTTTAAAATATTTTAACCGAAACAAAATTTTAAACATTTTAACATTAATATTAATATGCAAAATACTTAATAATAATAATGTAAACATTAACAAATTTAAAATTCATTTTTTGAATAACTTGAAATAAATAGAATTTAATGTAAATATTATTTTTTAATTTAATTAAAAGATATTTTTTATATTTCTTTCAGTCCTCATTTTAGTTAATATTTTTATATTTTTTAACATTATTTAAAAATTATAATTTCTAGTAATAGCTACAATTATAACAAATTATTATTTCTTTTTTAATCATATTAAAAACATAAAAAAAAATGTTTTACATATTTGAAAATAATCTTCAAATAATTATATTTCAATAATTCAAAAAAGTAAATAAATAAAATTTCAAGTTAAATCAATATAGACTTAAAAATATTTTAATATAAATTTTATTTTTATGGTTTGCTTTTTAATCTGTTTTACTCAATGTATGTCTTTTATTTTCATTGGGCTGCAATTTGAAAAAATGTAGACCTATAAATCCCAGCCATCCATCTGTTTGTCTGTCTTTCCTTAATCTCGAGAATGTAGTTAGATAGATGAAAGTAGAGACCAGGTATGGAAACCTTAAGAGCAGGAAGCCCCAATTAACTATATACAAACTTACAATCTACACTATCATTGATTTCAATTCAAAAATTTTTCTCTAAAAAGGTGATAGATGAGAGCACGACTCTATTCTTAAAGGAAAAGTATGATGTATAGGGACAAGCCACTACTAATTTAAGGTGGAGAAGCATATATTTTAAATTAAATAAATTAAAAATATGATTAAAATTGCACTCCAGCATTGTGACGATGTCACAATTAATAATTGCTCATTATTAATACATTTATTATATATTAACTAGGAGGCTTTGTTCCACTTGCTTCACTGATTCGTTCAAAAATTTCATGACATCCAGCAAAATTTATTAGCAAAAACTAATGTTTTCACTACTTTTAGTAGTCATCCTCAAGATGACTACTAAAAGTCCTCAAGATGACTACTAAAAGTTATCTACTACTCAAGTTATATATGTTAATTTAAATTTCATGACAATTCTTCAATTCCTAGAGCCACCATTTCTATTGTTTTTGTTTTTATTTTAGGACAAAGAAAAGTATTATGATGATTTTAAGCTAAGTATTTTATGTATTAAATAATATATAAAATACTTAGCTTAAATATATATAAATATATATTTATAGATTAGATATAATGTTTTTGAATTGATGTAAAGAAATGTCACATTTAAGGATTTATGTTATAAAAATGTTTAATGGAAGCAGGAGAGTTAAAATGTTTTCCTTGTGTATTATTATAAATTAGGACAATATCAGCATCTATGCAGATTGTAAAATACAAAATTATTAGGAAAGGAAAAAAAAAAATAGATATTTTGCAAAATAGAATTACTTTAAAAGTATCATATCTAGTTTTATATCAGCATAGATGTCAATATTAATTTTAATATTACCATAATGCATAAATATGGAAACCTCGCTTTTCTTTATAGATTATAAGATTATACTCTTATAAAATAGCCTACACTTTCTTTACTTTTTAAACAGATTATAAGCTTCACTTTTCTTCAAACAAATTAATCAAAATAAATAAAAAAGAAAGCAACAGTCAATGAATATCTTGAAATACTTTTATACATCTAAATTAGTTATAAATTGTACTATAATAGTTGGCAAATAATTTTTCTCTGCCTATGAAATTAATAAGCTAATAAAAAGGAAAAAAAAAATCTGTTTTAATAGCATTTACTCTAATAACAGTTTTTCTCAAGCACTTTTGGACAACCAAGCCCATTCATTGTCAAGAGACATACATTAGAGTTGCTTCTCACTATTAATAATTTAAGCATTATTATTAAACATCTCATTATTAATAAGCTAATGTTACTTTTCAAACTAACTGCCATTGGATACTCAATTATCGAAACTCATAGTTCTGATCATAACAAAATTTTACAAATAAGTATTATTTCACGCTTAAAAATATACATTTAATTAATTAAAATATTATTATTTATTAGTACTTCACAAACATAGTAACTTACATCACATTTAATGCTATTTTGATTGTTCTTATTCAAAATAGCAACTCTGTCTCCTTCAGAAAATAACCGAATTAAATTTGAAAAATGGAAATCAAAAGTTTTATTGCTAAAAAAAATCCATTTTCTTTTAGTGCCAAAAAGTTTTAGTTGATTCTATATTAAAAAAAAAAAAAGCATAATTTATTATTAAAATATAATTCTGTAATCATGTTAAAAACAATATACTTTTCTAAACTTTTAAAATATAAATACTCCAGTTCATTTGAGTATTGTTTGCAGAAAGTAAAACATAGCCTTGTTTGTAGTTTTGAATGTGTTCCCATTGATAATTAACTATATTATCCTCCTTAATAATAGTTGTTTTTATACCAGAAACATGCAACTTTTTTATTAATAAACTAGTAGCTGAAAAGAAAAAAAAATTATAAAACATATTGTGTTTAAGAAAATAATTATATATATATATATATAGTCTATATTTATCTTGCCCTCTTCAAAACTGTAAACAATTGCAATATCATTCCATCCTGTTTGATTTATTAAATTATGTAGGATAGCCACACAATCTTCTGTAGTTATATCTTCTGAAAATAAAATTTATTTAGTATTAATTTATGATTTTTACAACACACAGTTAAGGAAGTTGCATTTTCTAAAATAAAAATCTGCTGATCTGTACCATATATTCTAAATAATACTATATACTATAAACAATAAAAGATACAATAGGGTTGAGGGGGGAAGTTCGATTTCCCCCCTTGAACCTCAAAATTAGTATTGGTATTAAATAATACAGTCCACCCCCTATAACACTGTTGATAATTGCATTTTATATGAATTCCATGCTGTAGGAGTCACTTAGATTTTACACATATGTGAGCCGTTCACAGCCTGGCACATATTTGTAAAATCTAAGTGACTTGTACAGCATGGAATTCATATAAAACGGAATTATCAACAGTGTTATAGGGGGGAGGTCGACTTTATTTTTTCAATTAGGAAATTAGAATTTTACAATAAATAGAAACGTTTTGTATATTTTAAGTTATTTTTAAACCAAATAATGATTCTGTGTAGACAATTATAAATTAAAAAAAAAAAAGCTGGTGTTACAAAACAGAAGTGAATGTTAACGATTTTAATTTAAACTTTTTCCATTTAAAAACGGTTCTATAAAGTTTATGTCATAAAATTAATTGTTCGCGTGTATATCTCTGCTTATATTTTCGCACCTCGCAGTCTAGACGAAATTTATTACATATGTAATTTTTCTTAGTATGAACGATGAGAATATAAAACGGACTATTATCGTAAAAAAAAAAAAAAAAAAATTATTTCATCCATATGTATCAGGCATCACAATCAAAGCACAATAACCTCTTTTAATTTTAAAGATTAAGGCCCGATATTTTGGCGCGACCTAGTCTAATTAAATTACAAATAAACATTTGAAAACGTAATTAAAGAGTTCACACGTTGAAAATTAGATTCGAAATACACGTCAACGGGAGCAACTTAAAATAAATATCGGTTATGTTTAGATACTTTTGATAATCCGAAAACAATACCACACGACTGTGTTTAGAATCTAAACACCGCGTAAAAACAATCAATTATTCTAATGTCATTACACTGCCATTCATTATGCAGATGGATATCATTTATCATAACGTGTTTACCTAGCACCAAGGATACTTCGATAGGATTTTTCCTAAAATGGTTTTACATTAAACGTGTTGTTTTATCGTCTCTCACCGAAAAAAAAAAAAAACCACCGCCTGCAGCACATATAAAGTTAAGTAAATACCTGATTTACTAAAAAATATACAGGAGACAAAAACTAGGAAGATCTTGTACATCTTATCAACAGAATACCTTATGAATTGTAGGGGAAAAAATTGTCTATTCGATTGTTTAAATTTCTTTTTTTTTCGGAATTGGAATTAATTATCGATCAAGGAAATTCTATCGACATGTTATTAAATTTTTCATTGTTATACGTGAGAAAACAACAGCCGATGAGGAGGAGCGAAAGCAGTCTCAAAATTATCGATTTTCTAGTCATTTTCCGGTGCGTGAAAATGATTAGAATTACATTTTCTGGTTTATGTATACGTCCCTATAGCGATTTAAGAGGTGAAAACAAGGTTGACCCGACCCTGTATCACTATCTCAGCCTCTCTCGCCTTAAAGCAACTCGAGTTTGACCCGTCTTTTAACACAGTTCAGCTGCTATTGACAAAAGGCTTGTCGTAATAACCTAAAACACAAGCTTCCCGTTTCATAATAGTGACTTAAAACGCTTGTTTACATACGTATGCAAACCGAATCGTGACGTAAAAGTGCAAAGTTTTTGATATTATAAGGAAGAGACCATTATACCTATCCAGGTGAAAATGCCTTTCACCTTAAGAGGTGCAATGGTATCTCCCGAGTTGCTAGTGATTACAGGGGAGTTTAATGCCTTAGGGTATTAAAAACATCATCGGACGTAGGCAGGACGGCTTAACCAACTAAAAATAATATCAAATTTTTAACTGATTTAAATAGAATTTTATTCACAATATTTACAAATTACAGATGGGATGATAATAATAAGCTACCTTTTCTTCTTAGCTAATTTTGCTAATCTCTTGCGTTTGATGATCATCTCGTAGAGGACTTCGAGTCCTTCTTGTAGTCCCTCTCCGATAATAGCACAGGTGGGTTGAACGTGCCATAAACAATTCCCACCCAATTCCTGTAAACCTAATATTTTTTCCACTTCTTCGGCGCTTTTAGCGTCTGGCAAGTCTTGTTTGTTAGCCAGTACCAAGATGGGAACGGAAATATTTTCCGGGTGTTTAGCAGTTCTTAACAGTTCCATCCTGGCTTCGTCCATTCGTTCGACGTCGACACTGTCCACCACAAATACTATTCCGTCCGTACCACGTGTGTAGGATTTCCATAATGGTCGAACCTTCTCCTGTCCTCCCACGTCCCAAATGGTGAAACTCGCTCCTTTGATCTTTCCGACCGTGCCCTTAACATGCTCGCAGTTAAAACCTATGGTGGGTACCGTGTTGACGTACTGGTCGAACTTTAGGCGATACAGTGCAGTAGTCTTTCCGGCCGAATCTAGACCCAACATGGCCACGTGTAGCGGCGTTTCTAATAGAGAACCTCCGCGACTCCAAGTCGCACCCATTTGATATTAAACTAAAACAATCCTGAATAGTATAAATGATGGCAAACATGAAAAATAATAATAACAACTCTGAAAACCTCGCTTCACCTGACGCTCACTGCACCACTTCATACTGCTGCAGTCAACACTAGCATCCGTGTGATGTCACTATGGAAAGGGGCTCTAGAAGCTCGCTTTCCGCGCGCGCGCGCATCTACCGATTTTTCCTCTTTCGTTCTCCTTCACTCGGAACGTTTCCGAATTGCCGAAAAAAAGGGAAAAATTCAAATAAAGCAATTTATGTCAACGTAATGGGAAGTTCCCTTATTTTTTTTTTTAAAGTATAATTTAAAATCTCTTATTTTTTTCGATTTTTTTTTCTTAATTACCTATCTTAAGTACTTAACCTATTTTTACCCCAATGTATATTTATATACAATAGTTTATAGTATTTAAGAAAGCGTTACCGCAATACTAAGAATCGGATGAAATAAGACGCCCTGTGCCCAGGGCTAAATTTGTCACAATTCTTTGTATAATACACACAAAGTTACCTCTATTAGAGGACTCTTTTAGTGTTTTTTTTCTCCCTCCCTAACTTTAATAAAAGATCCCCAGATTTTCTTTTGTTAAGGTTAAAAACCTTGAAAATAGAAGCACTCGATTAAGCCCTATTAAACAATATATTAAAGGAATTTTCCCTTTAAGTTGGGACATTTAAGGAACTCTTATTTAATGTATTTTAAATTAACCGAATTAAATGTCTATTATAATTATAATAAATAAATAATCTAATTTTATGAAGAATGATAAATTATTTTGATAATTTCATTAGAAATATAATAAAATAACTTTAGGAAATTTTTAATTAAAAGAAAATATATTATTATTATTATTATTTTAATTATTTTGAAGTAATTTAATTTAAATTAAAAATAGATTGATTTTTATTTAAATCGTAATAAAATATTTCAAATTATTATTATTATTATTTGTTTCCATGGAAACAAAATATCTTGTTATTGACAATTTATATTTTCAAATAAATGATTTTTTTTTTTTACAAAGTCAAAATTCTGTTTAAAACGATGCTATTTTTTAACTCTTACGAATCGAATGAAATTAATTTAAAGTTAACAGACGTATCCTGCTTTAAAAATGAATTTTATCGATTGTCACTTTACTATCTATTAATTTTAACTGGAAACGTTACTTAGGAACATAATGGCAGCTCCATCTAGTATCCAGATAAAGAAATTTTTTTTCGATTAAGTTTACATAAAAGGTAATCGCCGATATTTATTTATTCTAAATAAAATAAACGAAAACAGTACAGTTTGATGTGACGTGAAGTTAAACCTGTTAAAATGACGAATTTTATACACTATTTAATCACTTTTAGTTTAGTTTTCACCGTGCGCCATCTATCTCGGAAACGAGAAATACTCCCGGTTGCGAAGTAAATATAACGATAAATAAACGTAGAACGAAGATTAATTTACTAAACCTTCAATTATTACGTAAAATTATCCAAGCTATTTAATAAAAATAGAAAGTAACACAAATTTAAACAAAAATGGAAAGTAAGGTTTAAGTATAAGTTCCGAATAGGTTCTGTCGGCTGGGAGTGGTGGCGTGCTCCTGTAATCCAGCTACTCGGAGGCAGGGACTAGTGGACGGCTTGAGGTGGGGAGTACACCTGCATGTTGTACTATGTCGATCGGATGTCCGCACTAAGGACGACGTCGATATGGTGGCCGAATGGGGAACCAAGGGCCACCAGGTTGCCTAAGGAGGAGCGAACCGGCCCAGGGCGGAAACGCAGCAGGCAAAAGCTCCCACGTCGTACAGTAGTGGGATAGCATCTGTGAATAGGCAGGATGTGGGCGCCCTTCCGATAGAGTCGGACCTAGTTCCTTTTTTTTTTTTCATCTTCCCTTTCTCTCTCCTCCCCTATTTGTTTTACATTCATCCACCACAATGGCTTAAGCAGTTTTACGTAACATTTGTGCCCTTGATGGCTGCCTAATTCTTTTGTGATAACGTCTATCTCGGGATTTTATTCGTATTCGGCGTTATCTTTTTGGCCTTTAAACCGTGCGGAAGATTTAATACGCTTTTTTTTTTGTTTTTTGGAAAGTTCCTCCCGAAGTAGATTAGGTGTTTTTGATAGCGATAAAGTCACGTGCGGATTATCTTGTTGGGCTTGGTATATTTGAACAGATAATGTTAAACCTTGAAGCCTCCACTTAAAAATTTAGATTTTTAAAATTCAATCCTGTGCAGTTAACCAGATCCTTCTTATCCTTCCTTGTCCACTTTCGAACTCCGTCATTTCTCCTCTCTTCATTAATTAACTCTACAGTCTTCCCACCTCTCTGACTTTCCTTCAACTCTCGTCCCTCTCCCATTTTACCTCTTTTTCTTCTCTTGTTTAGCTTTCTTCTCCCTGTTTACAACCCCTTATTTATTACTATTACCACTCTTTGTAAATAGGATTGGATACGGGCGGACAAGACCGCAATGGGGGGAGGAAAAAGTAAGTCCAATATCACTACAATTGTTTTTGGGGATTATTTCAGAATTTAAAATTAAAATTAATTTTTCTCTCATAATAAGTGTTATTAAATTTTATAAATACTCGAATTAATGACAAAAAATTATTTTTTTCAATTTATATTAGCGTTTTATATAATCAATCAGTCAACCTCCGAATAGCGGACACCGTCGAGACCGAGAAGTTTGTCCACTATTTAGAGGTAAATTGTAAATGAAATAGCTATCCGTTAAGTAGAGGTATCCGTTATCGGGAGTGTCCGTTAATGGAGGTTGCACTGTATACCTATATAATGTTGTGGGTGTGGGTGTGTGTGTGTGTGTGTATGTGTGTAGGCGTGTTTCTGGATAGAATAGTGTCTTTGGTTGTTAAGCATCAGAAGAAAACAGAAGTGATGTGTTTAAAATAAACATTCGACGTTGTTTATTTATTGATGAAGCAAAGAATTCAGAATAGCATTTTCAATTCTTTCGTTTTATTTCCATAGTTTCTTGCTGTAAAATATTAAAATTTAAAACATTAAAAATGTATATAAATTTTTAATATTTTACAACAAGAAACAACGGAGATAAAACACGAAAGCATGAAAAAAGCTATTCTAAATTCTTCACTTCATCAATAAATAAATGACGTAGAATGTTTATTTTAAACACGACACCTCTTCTTCTGACACTTAACGACCGAAAACACTAGCCTATCCAGAAACATAATTGAAAATATTCCTTTATGCTATATAATTTTCCGGACGAATGAACTAATCGCTATTATTTCTGATAATTTTCTTTTTTTTTTTTTACTGCAGTAGCTGTACATTTTGGTGATGTTCAATAGACTAGTATAGAGGAGACTAGTATAGAGGTGGGTCTGGTAGAACGAAAAGGGTCATTCGAGGTGAAATTAAAAATATTAATCGACGAAGCGAAAATTATTACAATGGAGAGGATAAAAATGTAATTTAACTACTAATCTCGCGTTTCAATCGTTAAAGGCGCGAGTGAAATAATTTTATGCAAATGTAAATGATCAATAAGCACTCCCCAACCTCCGCAACACGGTTAATTCTTCAACGAGTGTCGTTTCTAGTGACGTCACGCCGGCTGAACGTCCCTCCGATGACATCACAACTTTGGTGACATAACCGAAAATGTCCCCCAGTGCCAATTTCGCGGTAACTGAGTTAACATTCTAAATGTTGTTAAGGAAACTAATTATAATTTTATTAATTTTTTCTGTTTCGTGCCAAAAAATAATAATTCCTAGCGATTCTTGCGATTGGATTGGAAGGTGAATAATATTTCTGCGTTTTATTATTATTTTTATTTCGAGTAACAAGTTCTACTATTTTTTTTTTTTTTTATTCTAGCGGATCGGGATATCGCTACGTAAAGGTCATTCACTTGCGATGCCAACAGGGATATGTCAAATGGAAATATCCGGTTGGAGCTCTACGTTTAATATTTACGGGTCCCTCAAATTTCCCTAAATTTAGACAGTGCCTGTCAATATCCCCAAAGAGTTCGGGGATTATTTATTCGGAATTCCGTTTTGCTCTTCACGTGATATATAGTCCTAAAGATGGACTTCATCCGGATCGATGGAGATGCTTTGATTCCCAAAATAGTCAAACGGTGATTATTATTGAACGCTTATCACCCGGAAAAAATTTCGAATTTCGTTACGATCTTCAACCTTTGTCAGGTTATAATTTAGGTATGAATTATTATAATGACAAGCAATTAATTATACGCAAACTATTTTCACGTTTGAATAATTTTTTCTTGACTAATGACATTTAAAAAAGAAAACATTGAAAATAAACTTTCTTTTTTTTTTTAGAACTGCAGTAATTTATTTACAGACATTTCCCTAACTTAAAAATCAATTTTTTTTTTTTTTAGATTTCAATCGAAATGGGAAAAAATCGAGAGAATAGAAATTTCCCTAATATTAGAAATAAATAATACATTTTCCCCTTCAAATCTCTCATTAGAGGGGGGAATAATAATTTCCTTAAATTTCCAATTTTAGAGTATTTTACGGGATAATTTTAGAAATATTTTAATTATAAAATATCTAAGTATTCAACACGAGAAAATGTCCTTAAATTTCTAATATAATCGATAATAAATAGAAAAATTTTCCTCTTCCCATAATCTAAAAATGATTGCCAGCGTGAGAATTTTTAACAAATTCTAATTTTAGAATAATCGAAAATAAAATTTTGACCTCTCTCTCTCTCTCTCTCTCTCGATAAAAAAAATTATATTTATTTATTCATAATATATTTATTTTTAATTGTGAAATTAGCAGAATGCCACCGTTGCGTGCGTACGGAATTATTAAATCATTATTGCACTAGTGATTTTGGTAAGTAGAAAATTATTTATATAAGTCTAATATGTAGGATATATTCTGCCATATTCAAAAATTCGATTTATATTTTTAGTAATCGAAGGGAATTTAACCGGTTTCCACGAAAACCAAGAAACGCAAAGGACTAAATTAACGATTGGCGTCATTAAATTGCATCGATCGATCGATCGAGATCGATTTAAAGATTACGTATTCCTTTATCGATCGTATAACTGTACCATACCGGATTTTGGAGAGTATATTTTTATGGGAAGAATGATTTTAGGAATTCCTGTGGTTCTCTGTATGAAAAGGCTTTCACAATGGACGAGAATTAAACAGAACGCTTTACTTACTTCCAATTCTCCTTGTAAACTGGATTCGTAATGGCAAATTCTTTGTAATAGGTTTATAACTTAATAAAAAATTTTTTAATACCTTTGTACGAAAACGAATCAAAATCAATTGCTGAAGTAGAAAATTGTATCTTGGCGACGGCACGACAGAAAACTGAATTTCTATAAAATAAGCTTATATTTTTGAAATGTTTTTCTGTAAACAGTAGATTTAATACGATAAGATTTATATTAAAGCTAGATAGAACACATAATATACATAAAAACTAATATATAGGGAAATTATTCTTTGCAGCGTGTGTAAAATAAGAAAGGATTAAGTTAATATTAACAGGAAAAATAGGCCTGTATCTAGATATTAAATGGCAATAACTCTAACCGTTTTCCTTAATCACGATTAATGTGTATAGAATATATTATAGATAGTAAAATAAGAAATAAAAACATATAGATTAGATGGCCCGTATTGTAATCACTTAGCCTGTACTGATAACAATAACCAAGTGATAACATTACGCGGTGAAAATGATTAGTGAAAGTTCTGTTTTATTGTAATGCTCATAGTCTTCAATAACAGCCTATAAATGAAGTAACAAGTGCCAGAAATCGAAATTTAAACTACAGTACTATAATAACAATACGTAGTTCGCCGGAAGACTCCCAGAATTTGACAAAAATGTTTAAAATGTCGGATTACTAAATCGACGCCATTTTCCTCTCCGTGTTTATTCGATAAGATAATCAAGATGAGTGTTTTGATATTGTTGAGAGTAAGAAATGTTAAATCTTCCGGAGTTGGAAAGTTTAATTATTGTTAACAAAGGTCTTTGAATAACTAGCTGTGAATATTGTTATCTGAGACGAATGTTTTAGTATTAATGGTAATTTCTAGCACAAAAACTTTTTTACTTCAGATAACCTCATTTAAGATTTTATTCTGTTGAGCTTTACAACTTAACAATTGTTGATGCTTTTCATCAAATGCATGTACCGTGCAGCGTGAACCAAAGATGGCCTTTACGCATTTCCTTTGGCATGCTTAATGTAGTTAATGAGTATGCATTGTATTGCCATAAAATGTGGAAAAAGAAGCCAGTGTCAAGAAAGCAGTACGCAAAATAGTTGTGCGAAGAGCTCGTGGAGCGCCTGAAAGTTCCTACACTTAGGCAATCTCTATATTGAGAACGTTCTCGACGTAGATGACACCCCAGGCTTTTCAGTTCAACAGGAAGAAAAGAGGAAGTTCTGTGCACTCTGTCCATCAAAGCTGTCACGTGTGAGATGGTTTTTATACGTAACGGGCGACAACACAAGACCCAAACAGTGAAAGAACTTAAGAAAAAGTAACAGAGTCAGTTTTTAATTTTAGTGTTCAGTGTTTAATTTGCAATCACATTAGTGTCATTAAATAAAATGCGTAGACAGCTTTTTAGTAACAACGTCCTCTTCACTATATTTTAGTAATCTAGTGTTAATAAATATTCACACGCACATAGATATATATTTTAAATTTATTATTATAAATGATATAATATAGCGTATTAAAAAAGTTGTTCGTTAGCATTCTACGTATACTTTTCAATACTTGAATGACGTAAAATGTGACTCACTAAAACGGGTTTAAAACAGATTCTAATAATATTTTGACCATAAAGAAAAAAAACGTAACGGAACATGCATAGATTTTAAATTAAAACGAAACGGATCATGTACATTCTAAAGCGCGGAAACGGTATAAAAACTAATAAAAAAAAAAAGAACTTATCTACAGTATAAATCACTGAAACGTTAAATAAACTCATTGGGTTTTTAGCAAACTCTGTCTAAATGCTTCTAAAATCTGAATGAAAATTATCATCGTCACTGAACAAGATTTATAGACCTATTCTAAAAACAGTAAAAAAGTTTATAATGTAAAAGTTGGATATCTTCCAAATCGGCAAGTAAATTCTGAAAGGCTAAAAGGGGGAAACGCATTAAAAGTATTTTTCCTTCATAATTTAACAGGTAGTAAATTTATAATGATTAATTACACGGTGGAATGCAGATTTTATTTTTGAATTTCGAGTTTTGGAACCTGGACAAAATTATAATTTTTTTTTTTTTTTTCGGTAGAATTTGTTTTCCTTATTCGTTACGTAAGGCAATCATGTGTGAATTACACAAGCTCAAGACAGGTACACATTTAATAAAAACAAGCCAAGCAAAAATACCGATAAAACAGGTTTTAAAAGTTGAGTAAAACGGAAAATTTTTTAGTTGATATCAAAATATTGAAACTGCTAGATGTACCTGTGCTTCCATTTAATCGATTTTTTTTTTCCTTAAGAGAAATCGAAACAGTTTGATAGATTGGGTCAGACAACCTGGAAACAAGACATCGATAGTTAGAGTCCCATTAATCAATTGAAGTTGTTATTGAAATGTAGCAGATGTTTTTTCTTACAAAAGTCCAAACCTGTGCTTCTTTGTAACACTTTCGTGATTTGTTTGAGTGACTTTCAATTGTACAAGATGACGTGTCAACCATTTCTAACGGAGTGGAACAAGTTACAATTCAATAGAAGTCTTTTATCGAATGATATACTGCCAAAAATTGCTGAAGGTGATACCTCCCCTGGCGTCCTTGTAAAAGATTTTTCCCATTTTCTGGAAGGTCGTTAAATAACTATAGCTTATCTAGAATGAGAAGTTTTAAAAAAAAGGACTATCGTTCTATGAGATGTAGATAAGGTTTTGCTGACAGATTCTTTGTAGATTTAATATATTAATGCTATCAAAAAGAATGCGATTTATGAGGCTTTAGTTTACCTGTTTAATATTTAAAAAAATATATATTGTCAGATTTATTGTTTAAAATGAAAATAATCACAATTAACCGGTATAAAAATTGTGTCTTCAATAAACGACGAAGTTTTAATATTAATAATTTGCAAAATTACGAACAAAATACAATAATATTTCTGGCGATAAGTACAAAATATTTTTTTTTTTTTTATTTGATCATATATATATATGTATATATATATTGGTTTTCATAAATTTTTTAAACAAAAGACTAGTTGAAGATAATTTTAGTTTTAAAATATAGGTTTAAAGCAACTGCAAAAATTCAATGCTAACAATAAATTATAAACTGTCTTGATAAAAACATTTTCGCGTTATACATAATCTGTAAAATCTTCTAAATGGCGGGCACATTCTAATCCTCCTGAAGAATCTATGTAACATTCTTCAGTGGAGGTCTCTTGCCTTGCTTTTACGTGCAATTGTTTAATTTTTCTTAATCTTTCTAACCAAGTTGAGAAATATGGATCTAAGTTTCCTTCTTTGTACACAGTAATCATTGAGATCAACTATAAAGATAAAAGTTATCTAATTAATATTACGCATTATGTCTACATTAAATAAACTTTTTAAAATATATTCATTTAATATCATCCTGTTTTCTAAGCTAGATAATATAATTTTATAAATATCAATTAAATTACTGTAGTAGTTACATAATACTACATAAGTAATTCATAAGTTTACTATTTTTATAATTTATTTTAATAAAATAACTAAGAATTCCATAAACTCACATTAGCATGAACAGCAAGCTGCCTAACAAATATAGGTAAGCTCTCGTCTGAAACAATATGAGGCTCTAAATGTCCAAACTCGGTTATTTCTAAAATATAAAATATATATTACTTTGGTTTCGTACAAACTTTTCTAAAATTTAATATTAATAAAATAATAATTCAGTTAAAACAAAGGTTTTTGTTACAGATTTGTTTCACCTGATTTTAACTTTACTGTTACTACATTCAACCCAAAATCTTCGGGACAAATAATTACACACGCCGACGTTAGTTGGCTCTGTAATAAAATTCAAAATAATATTTTAAAATTAGTTAATTTTTTTTAAAATACTGCATTAAAAATGTTGTTTTAAGAATCAGAATTTACAAGAAAATTATATTAAACAATAATAAAAAACAAATAGAATCTAATCCTCAAAGAGAAGCTAATTTAAAAAGTATATATCAAATATTATTGAAAAAAATAAATCAAAGTATATTAAAGATTATTATGTTATTAAGAAATAATAAAGAAATGTACTATCGTTAATTTTCAACATTTTATACTGGGAAAGATTTGATATTATTGTATAATTACTTTTATATATTCATATAAAAATATTTTATTCTATTATTAATTATGATTGTTTCAAAATATGTAATTTTTAATGGGAATAAAAGTTTTATAAGTTAAAAGCATTTTAAAGTTTATTTCAGCTGTTATTTTCAATAGCTAGATTTAAACTGTAAATAGCTAAGGATGAGATAATTAAAAATTTCAATAAAAACTTTTTTGAATTAAATCTGTTAAAATATTTACTATTCTCTTTACTTCTGAGAATCTAACTGTAAATTAAACAAAGTAACAGAAAAAAAAAGCGTGTTTTAATTTTGTATGTATTGTAATGGGTGTGTGAGACCTTCAAAAATCTAGACAGAATTTGTCCTTAAGCAATCTGAACTTATCAGAAATCAATTGTGTATAGTACAATGAAAGAACAAAACATATCTTAAAAAAAATTCAAATAATAAAAATAAAATTACTTTAATCGTTCCTAAAGAATAGTCCTCTCCACTTTCATTATAAACAATGGTAACGAAATCATTTGCAATGTGTAATTTCTTCATGTTACCTGCTGGATCTATTTCTTTATTTGGCATCATCGTGGCAACGTGAAAAACAACTGAAACGAAAATTATTTCTCTCATGAAATCATTATAATCAGTTATGTTTGTGGCCTTTTATATCTTATTTATTTTATAACTACATTATAATATAACAAATAGCTAGTTTCAAGGTAATGTCCTTTCTCTGTAACAATAACGATGAAAAAAATCTAAATAATATAATAAAAAATTAAATTGTTTTCACATTATTTATTGAGAGATTTAATTATAAACAATTTTTTAAATATTTATTTAAATCAATTTAAAAATTTGATTACAAAGTTTGTTTTTAAATTATATAACCATAATGTTTATACATATATTTTAATTTCCTCTTTATAGATGAATGAACAATTTTAAATATTTTTCTAAATTATTGTCAAAGTAAATATACTGTTCAGTTTTCTTTTAATTTTTAATTTTATTTTTATTACATATACAAGGTACACATGTAACTTTTCTGTTAACTGATTATTCTTTTTATGGCATTAAGAAAATATAAATGCTAATGAATAACAATTAAAAATTTATAAAATGCAAAAATATAAATATAACCAATAACAAGCCCAATTATAATATTAATTCAAATGTATAATCACTGGATTTATTAATACTAGCTAAAATATAACCCATAAAATCCAGTGATTAGATATTATAAATAAAATAATAATAAATATGTACTTTGTATTAAGTCATCATGCCAAATATATGCAAACTTTCCATCAGCTTTGCTATCTAATCCACCTAGATAAACTTTCCTTTGATCAACTTCACTTATCTGTACTACCGTGCCTAATCCGTGTAGAAATTCAGTATACCGAATGGATCCACCCTCATTGCGAAGAATAACAGATTCTTGATTTGCCTAAATTTGCAGATATACAAAACATTCGCTATTAATTTAAATTTAATAAATTTATTAACTTAAATTTTACGTACCTGACCGGGTCCTATGTAAATAACTCCGATTTTGTGCGTTTCGTATGCGGGAGTGTGGTCGATCATTTTAATGGCACGATTTATAACCTAAAATTACGTGAAATTATTACAAATATGAAATGTTTATTTATTTATTCCATTAAAAAACATTTACCTCGGTTTTTGGTAATAGCACCGGTTTATCAGAAGCCGTACCAAATGTTGCACTGTGATATAATTGGAGAAATACAAAACTATAAAAAAAATTTTTTTTTAATTTAAATTTAGGATGTATTGAAAATTATATTTTTTCACACCAAAAATATATTTTAGGAAAATTTTTCTATGGTTGATGTAAATTTGTATTTTGTATGTATTTATGTATTACCTAGGACTAAGACCACTACGATACATTTCACGATAAGATGACGAAACCTTGTTGGATGACTGCAACAATTTTTTACTATGAACAGGACTCATTACAGAAATAGTATGTCCTCTATCTCTATAATAATTTGTAGGAGGAGGAGATCGAGGTCCTAAAATGAAATTATCATAGCCATTAAATAGTATAATCACATATACAGTAGAACCTCGAAAACTCGGCCTAATGTGGACCGAAGGGTGGCCAAGTTTGTGAAAATGCCGGGTTATCGGGAATGGGGTTAAAAAAAATAAGTACGAGTGTTTCCTCAGAAAATACTGTACTGTACTTGTACGTATTGTTTACTTGAGAATATAACAGAGAATAAACTGCCTAAATACCCTTAAACAAAGGAAAAGTACATTCTTTATTAAGGCATAGAGCCTTTACTACATGAAAATGAAAATTAATGAATACACTGTGTACAGTAATTTACCTGATAAGACAGACCTCAGAAAAATACTTTATGAGAGCTTTTATACTTTTATAAAGCTGTTTATAACGAAAATTAATTAACTAAGGAGTTTTTTGCTCTGCCAGGGTGTGGCCGAGTTATCCGGAGTGCCGGGTTATCGAGAGCCGAGTTTTCGAGGTTCTACTGTATTAAAATTATTTTAGTCTTATTTAAACAATTTACCATTAAAAAAAATTTGCTAGCTAGCTTTGAATGTAAGCAATTTATGTAAAAAAAACACCTATGAAGTGAAAAATAGTCAATATGCATTGTATCATTTTATGATAATTCAATCTATGCCACGATATTACATTATCAAATTTATATTTTATTTTCATACTATTAATTAAAATTTAAATGAAATGAAAAAATTTCAAAGTCATAATTAACTTATATGATTGTTCCAATCATTGTATTTTATACATTACTTTTTATGAGCTTTTCTGCTCTAATTAATTATTACATCAACTTCTACATAAATATTCATTAATTTGTATTTTTAAAAAGAAAAAAACTACTCTATATGTTAAATAGTCTTATTTTTTTCCTTTTCTGTTTACTTTAAAGGGCATCCAAAAATGGACAAGGATCATGATGCCTTAGCAATTTTGTATGTAAATTTTGTAAAATTGAATTATTATTATTATTCTTGATACAATATATTCAATTTCTATTTCTTATATTTACCACTCTATTTATTTTACTAATTAATCATCATCATGAGTTAATCTTTGAAAATAAAAAATAATTAAATAAAACATATCTAAGACGTTATTTTGCCATTTTGATCGGGATTTGTTTTTATATGTTATAAAAAGATTTCTCATTAAAGATGGCTAAATACTAAAATGGCAAAGGTGTCAGCCTGTCACTCCAAGGATCTGGGTTCAAATCTGATTCAAACACCTCAGAAAATTTTTCAAGGGCAATCTGCTCCAGATACGTTGGGCCTGTCTCTCACCACCTGGCCACTGAGTCCGGATGAATCCGTAATGGATATGGATAAAAGACTTTCTTAATGCTTACAGGATGAAAAGAGCCTATTAAAACATTTCTAAAGTAACAGTATTCTTCCTTCTTTGTAAATAGCTAAAATTTGTAATAAATTATTATATTTCTTATATTAATATCAAACTTTTCCCTATTATTAAAATTCTCTTTTATTTTCCTTATTTTTATACTTCAGTGAAACAATGAAATAACATATTTTTTAATTCTGAACGTCAAATACGTGAAATCAGTGAAACAAAACAAAGCCATCTCTGCAGCAAAACTTTTATTATTTTACTTTCCTGGCTGATATATATAACATAGGGAAAGTATGGTGAACAGTCAAAAAAATAACCCATCCAGATTTTTACATTTTTGGACTCAGGGGACCTTGAAACCTAGAGAAATGCAAAAAAATTTTGGGGTTATTTTCTGTATGTATGGATGTTGTGTGTGTAGCATGATTTTGTTCACCCTGTTTAAATCTTAACTCCTATGCTTTTTGTCAAACTTTTCTGAAATTTTGCACAGAGGTTTGTTTATTAGTGAGATTAATGCTATTGAATTTTGGCTATTAAAGTTTGAGGGAGTGGGAGATAAAGATAAAGGGGGCTGTATATATCTCCAGTATGGTCAGACTTCATGATTTTACTCATTATTAGCATTTACAATTTTTATAAAACCCATCCCTACCCTCAAAATTAAGCTTTTTGCCATTTTATAATAGTTAAAAATATGATAACAGATGGCACCATATATGTAGTTTTAAATATTGCCAGAAAAGTTAAGCACTCGTTGCTGAATTTTCTTGTTTTATAGTTACTACAAGTAATGATTAATTTGTATAAATAAGTCAAACTATTATATATAGAAATTGTATGATCTACAAATATAGTTTTAGTTTTTACAATAATTGATTTTATTCAAAATACAAAAATTGACCATTGCAGACCATTGCACTATTGATTCTTTAAAACTTTCCATATACTAAATTACAATTATATATGTATATATATAATTCTAATTGATCTAAAATTACATATACCATTTTTAAGTTAAATTTTTAAAAGTTAATTGCATTTAAAAGTCAGTTTACTGTAGGGTTCCATAAAAGTCAGATTTAGAAAATAAAATCCATGAATATTGAAAGTTTTAAAAACATTCCTTGAAGAAATAATATCATGCCATAACTTAATCATTTCTTAGAACCAACTTTCCAATCAGAATTTTTAAATTCATTAACACAAATACGCAGGAAAAGAACATAATAATTACATCGAACAGTTCAGTCAAAGTCTTGGAATAAAGTAATAGTTTATCATATTGTTTCTTACTATCATTGACATCTCATGTTAAAACCTTAATTCAAACTCTGATTGTAGACAAGAAATTAGCAAATCTAATGACTTATCAGAACACTTCAGCTATTTATGGCTGATTGGCTCATCATTTAAAGAATTTAATTATTGATTATTAATATGAATTTTTCCAGGAATGTATTCTTAGGCATTGATGGATGCACTTTCTAACATTTTCTAAGTATCTGAAAAAAGTAAGAGAGGAGAAAATATCAAGATTTATAAGAAATGATCATATTGAATTCTCTGGTTTAAAGTTTCCAATAATATATCTGTTATATTGATAACATTTTAATGTTATTAAATACAGTAGACCCCCTATAACACTGTTGATAATTCCATATTATATGAATTCCATGTTGTATGAGTCACTTAGATTTTACAAATACATGTGCCGGACTGTGACCGGCTCACGTATTTGTAAAATCTAAGTGGCTCGTACAACATGGAATTAATATAATACGGAATTATCAACAGTGTTATAGGGGGATTTACTGTATATGCTTTACTTATTATATGTTGATCTCAGTGATATCATCTATCAAATTCTTTATACCATCTCTGATTGATGTATGTCAAAATTAAAATAGGAATGTGAACCTTGTTTTTAAACATAAACTACATCTTCAATTTTTCTTGCCTAAAAAATTACATTACATAAAAGAAGTATCATATTGGCAACGTGAGTAGAGTAGAATAAACCTCTATTGTCAAAATTTTAATAAAGCTCTGTATAAGGGTCATACTATATATGAGTTAGAAAGAAATTTCACAATCCTTTACTTTGAGAAGAAGAAATTAAAAAAAAAAATGTCTTACTATATTCAGAACAATATGGCAATTAAAATAAAGTAACTGATAATTATGTACTTCTCAAGAGCACTATAATATTAACTGTAAGATAATAAAATTAATGAATTTTTCCTCTGTTTTGTCTTTTAATATATTAAATAATAATATATTAAGTGTCCAAGATTTTAGAAGAACATATTGAAATAAAGCGTGAATTTTTTTAGAGTTATCAATTAGAGTTACATTGAATGCAAAAAACACAGATTATGTGAATGAAAATAAACCTACAAATCAATGATATAAAGTGTCTATAAAAGTGTTACAAATTCCAAAAGCAAATATTTAAAATTGAATAGATAGGTGATAAATTATGTCTATCATACTTTACTATTTAGAAGTGAAAATTATAAAAAAACTATCCATCTAAATATATATATATGTAATTAAATAATTTGAAAATTCATATTTTTTACCTGCTGTTTTACCCGGAGGACTTGTAGGAGATGACTTAGTTTTCCTAACAGCCAATTGAGGACTTGCTGAGTGAGGTAATGGTGGACTAGCAGAAGATTTTAATTCTGATGATGCAGAACCACTTACATTACTGAGATCGAGACGTAATTTTAATCTTGATTCTTCTTTCCGAGGTGAACTAGGAATTGCTTTAGGTGGTTTTGATTCTTCAGAAATAGATATACACTTATCTTCTTTACGAGGAGATTTTCGAATCACTGATTTTGTCTGTTGTTCTCCTAATCCTGTTTCTATTACTTTTGGTGCCATTTCTCTGCTTTCATTTGAATCAGAGACATTTTCTGAATATACAGAGTCTTCATTTGTTTGACTTGTATTTTCTGATTTTGTTTGTGTACCATCTTCACTACTTTTCAAATTTGAATTGCTACATATATTCCACTCTCCTTTCATTTCTGGACTAGAATTAGTTCTTCTCAAAGGAGAATTAGATCTCTGATGAGAAACATTTGAATGACTTTCTGATGATTCTGAATGATCTGAATTTAATATAAAAATTTGTATATATTTATTCAAATAGTAACATTTAAAAATACTGAATATAAATTTAAAGTATATAGCAAATATAATAGTAAAAAAAATAAGCTAATAATAATACCAGTATCTATCTCACTATTTGTAGAAGGAACTTGTTCTGCAATATCTTCTAAAGGATCTGAAGGTAACATTGATAAGTGCTGATAATCATAGTAAGAAGAATCATCGACTTCACTGTCACATTTGTCTTCTATATTTAAATCTCTATTGGTTTTATGAGGTAGAAGTAATGTTGAAATATCAGGAAGGTTAAGATCCTAAAAAAAGCAATTATTAAAAGAAAAACAATTTAGATCAAACTCAAATCTCAAAATTTTAGTTAAACAAGAATAGTAATGGATAGAAACATCTATTACTATTTTTTTTTTAACTATACTGACTAACTATAACTATGTCTTTTTAACTAGTACAATCTCAGTAATTTGTATGTTTGCTGGTTCGACACATCCAGTTACTCGACACCAGTTGACTTGCAGGTATTACCATTACTGTTACCAATTCCCATTAGTTCAGCTTCCACTAAATTTGAGCATCTTTCCACTAAATGTAATTAATTCCAAGTTTGAACATTTGAGCTTGGGGATGAAGTTAAAGAATGATAGATTGCTCAAAAAAAGGCAGGGTAGCTTATTCACACTTTTCACCGGATGCACCCTCTCTGGTGTTTAAAAACAGAACTATTTTATCTGAATTGTTTGAATCATTCTTGTGTATTGTCAACAGTAAAAATGAATAGCAATAGAAAAGGAAAGCTTTCTGTTCCATTCCAAATTGCACAATATAGGTTTTCGTCTATTCCCACATGAAAAACAGATGATTATTTGGAAATCAGAATGTGGAGCTCATAAATATAACTGACGGAAAGACTACTAAGAATTGGCAAAAAGTTTCCCGATTGTTCAGCTTTGTATGAACAAGTTATGCTGTCAATTTTAAAAGATTTTTCCTTAATATTTAAAATGTCAGTAATTTTGTGTGGGACACAGGGTCGAATTTAAGCATTTTGAGGCCCTAAGCCGAACGCTGTGTCAGGCCCCTTACCAACCCATCACATTTTTAGAAGTCAATCATAAAAAGAAAAGAATTAACATAAACATATTAACTACTTTTTATTTTATGTAGTATTTAAAGTATATTTTGTTGGTTTGTAAAAAAAAAACAACTTCAATTTTCTTTTCTGTAAAAATTTTTGAGGCCCTTGAAACTTGAGGCCTTAAGCAAAAAGGTAACATAACTTGCTTGTAAATACAGCCCTGATGGGACAGATGTCAAAGCTAATGCTTTTTAACGCAAAGAGCACAATTGTATAGAATGATCTCTCTCATTTGATTCTATATCATCATATGTAATGACATGTCCCACTAGCAATAATTATTCTCCTATAAATTTCTCAATAAACAGCTACAAGCAGAATACATCATTATATTGAACTGTAATGCAGTATATGATTAATTTTATGTTGATTAGTTACAAGCGACTAGTGTTGACACCTTTTCAAAATCGCTGACCCGGACGGCAGGTCAGGTTTGTTCGAACAGAAGTTCCTGACGCACTTTACAATGCAAAGAATAACTTGCATGCTGATTCTAAATCAGTTGCAGTTAGGGACTAGGGACTTGTGAAGGAGTAATGTAAGTAACCCTAAATTAAGAAAGAACAGGTACAAATGACTTAGCTCTATTGGATATTGGAGACGTGTTTGATCGTAGTATATGAAAAAAAGATCTACAGGTTGCGTGCCACATGTCGGTGTAAACAGACTAACATGGCAGAATTGTAGATAAGTTTCAATGAGTGCGAGTTCTTTCACTGTTAAAATAATGTAAATTTGTAAAAATATTTGCAAGAACTTTGTTACATCATAATTTCACAATTTCTGTGAAATTTCCAGACAAAATTAATAGTTCACCTGGACAGTGAGTCAATTCCCAGACTGTCCAGGTAAAAACTGGATGGGTGGTAACACTACAAGAGACCCAGATATAAGGTCCTATGATCTTGACCCAGATAAAGTAGCAATTTTGTAAAAATGCGCTGCCTCTATAGTTCATGAAAAATGCAAACAACACAATACTATATAAATATTGATATAAAAACCAGTCCCTGAAATTTCCCAGCAAAAATATTGGACCTTCCACTAAATTTTGTATGGTCACTTCAATTTTCAACTAAATTTGGTGGAAAACCAACTTGGCAACACTGAATACTGGTGATGGCAGCATACTCAGATGACAAACGGCAAAGACAACTGAAAATTATTTTAAAAAGGACTGACAATTAATTTGACAACTCTAAAATACAGTAACATATGATGTATAAATATTTTTTTATTAATGCAATGTACTAATATCATGCAAATAAACAAATATTTTCTTTCCTAATAATTAAACTAGAGATGCATGCATATTCGGCTACTATCCAGCTACTTTTTTTTAATATTCGGTATTCAGCTGAATGTTGCATACTATTCAGCCGAATACCAAATACCAAATCATGAAAAAAACGCACATATTACTCAAAAACGTATTTGTTTTAATCACAAATTATTACATTTAATACTTAAAATCTATCAGTGGTAAGTTGTGATGAATGAAAACAATTTTTTCGCATTTGTTGATAGCAAACAATTGCACTTTTCCTCATAAACTACACCTGCTTCTGAAAATAGCCTCTCACTATATACACTACTGCCGGGAGACAATAGATAAATCTTAGCAAATTCTGTTAGGCTTGGGTACTGTTTTGCGTTTGCTGACCATCACTTGTAAAGGTCTACCATCCAATGTAGGTGAACAGTTTTCATATAAAGTGGTACAAATAGTGATATTTTTTAGTAATTAGGACTATTAGTAACACAATTTGATGCAACAATGAACAAATAATGCATGTCATGACACGATCTACTCGCAAATAAAACAAATGTGCCTGCAGTGTCACTACTGCACCCACTGCAATGAGACAGGCCATAACCTGTCACCCGCAAAATGTACACATATTTTGCCGAACATTCAGCGCTTCGGCTGAGAGCTTAGCCAAATATTCGGTATTCGGCAAAATCACTATTCATGGCATCACTAAATTAAACCATTAAATTCCACCTACTTTTAATAATCTGACACTGTTCTGATCCCATATGCCATCAGATTATTGAGACTGTACTATACTGTAATCCTTTTTTAAATGATATTTTCAATTGATTCTAGAGACAAATTTAAATACATAAAGGTTTATTTAATTTGATATTCCTTTTCATTAACAAAATAATTACAATAAATATATTGCTGCAAAGTATATATTTTTGTCAATTAGATCTTTGTCTAATGAGAGAAGGTCATTCTGACCTTTTAAAAACTGTTTGAATAGAAGTAGTGTTTACAAAACTATTCCATTCAAAGACTTTTCTGAGAATGATCTCTATTCTGTTTTCCCAATTCTATTTTTGTTCAAATTAGTATTAATTCATTATTCTATCTACAATAATATATTCGAAAATCCAAATATCAAATATAAATGAAAAATATCTAAGAATTTCATAAACTATTTATAGTTAGTTAAACAATTAAACTCACCGGAGGGCAATTTGGCAAAAATAAACGATTTTGAATTCTAAACATCCAAGACGTATTGCCAGTTGGTCGCCTGATAAATATTTCAGCCCACCCATTGCACCAACAACTACATAAATTTCCAGATGAACACTTGGCATTTTTAAGTTTTTCTTCTTTAGAATCTATATAAAATATTTACAAAAGTAACTTAATGGATTAATTTAAATAATTATAGAATTATGTAGTAAGATAAGAAAATTCCATTCAACAGTTTTTCTGAGAACTAATTTGGAATTCTTTTACTCGCAATCAGGAAATCATTGATCAACTTTCATAAAATTTTTGCTTCTTAAGATCTGAACTGAAATCATTTATATTAACAATATCATTAATCTCAAGTTTTTGAAATTAATTTAGTGATTTTTTTTAGCAATGATAAGTTTATACAATATCCATTAAGTTAATAAATTCATTATATTTATTAATAGCATTTTGTTCAAATGAAGACTTGAATCACTGATTAATATGTAATCAAGTAATATAAAGAAACACAAAATTTAGTAGTAATTAATATTAATTTCTGTCACCAGATGGCACCACTGTTCAGTCATAAAAGTCAAACTTTTATAAGGAAATTCTGTTTAAATTATAAACTCCTTTTTTTTGTTAATCCTTTAATAACTTATGATTATTGCAAATCAACTGAACTGAATTACTTGCAGCACTTTCACTTCTTTTGCTATTGATTTCTTTGTAACTTCAATGACACTTCATTGTAAGCAGGCTGATCTGATAGTTAAATGAGATTTTAATACCAGCTATCTATGAAAAATTATATATAAATTGGACTGAAATATGGATCGCTTACAGCGGTATAAAACTATTAATATTTACTTTATCGTTCTCTGATGTATGTTTTAGTAAATGGAAATTAATCATTTGAATAACGAGTTATTCAAATTACTGATATCTGTATTCAGGGAATCTAAAGTGTATATCGGGACTGGGGTAGAGTAGGTCCCTTTCATTACATTTTATTTGAATAAGTGAAATACATAGAATGTTTCTTTATTAATAATAGCAATATTAAAGATTTTATTTTCATTAGTGTAAATAATTTTACAGGGTAATAACCACAATGGCACCTGTTTTCTCTGGGCCTAGAATAAAAATCCTCTCTCTTGATGACCCTCTCAATAATATCAGTTATGTATAAATATATATATATCAATCAATCTCAAATGCACAATTTATTAAAAAAAAATCCTGATATTTATTCTCTTCTTTTCTATACTTTTTGTTACTTATTAATTATATCTTAAAAATCTAACTTATGTATTATTTAAATATTTATAAAAGTTAAATGTAAGGTTGCCAACCATACTGAATTTTCTGGAAAATAAAGAATTTTGGTTAATTTTTTAAAATTATTTGAAAATGTTCTGAAAATGAATGAGAAATTTGTGTGTTTGTGTACATGTTTGGTTTTTTTTAGTTCATCTCTTTATCCTCATTAGATGTTGACATCTCTAATTGTAATCCAAATTATTTTCATTCCCATTAGTTTCCATTGTTTTTCATTTTTCTCTCTTTCCATCCTGTTGTCACTAAGAGGGCCTCTTTTAATCACACTCATTGTGGGATTGATCAGGCCCACAACGGCAATGGCAAGATGCTGGGAGATGGAGCTTAACATACAAGATGGATTGCTATAAAAAATTCTTGGACGAGAAAGTCCAAGAATTTTTTATAGCAGTCCATTTTGTATGTTAGTATTTGTTCAGTCCCAGATCTTCTGAGCAGTTGGTTAATGCCTTAACTGTCTCAGACATCTGGCTATCTCATCATCATTATGAAAGAAAGAAAATGTTCCCAAGTTAGTTTTTAAGTTTTCATTTGCCCATCACTTTTCATGTTGATATTTTTTTCCATACTGTTTGGAATTTGTTATTTCAAAAGTCCTAATACATCCATATTTCTTCATTTTTAGATACACCATGATTTTGAAATTAAATTTTAAAATTCTTTTTTATAGAGAAAAAATTTTAAAATCAATTTCATTATGTTATATTGCCTTTCTAAATTGTTTCAAGGCAATATAAGTGTCATAAAATAAATAATGCTCATAAACTTTATTTCCATGCTCTTCTGCATATAAAACAGCTTTTCATTTAAATACTGTATGTAATTTAGTCTTGAAGCATTTTAAATGTTAAAAAGATTATATGAGCTGAGAAGCTCATGTGAACTGATGTGATCATTGGGCAGTACAACCAAAAATGTCTATTACAGTAGAGCGTCGTTTATCTGAATCAATTGGGGACTGGGGTTGTTCGGATAACCGATTATGTACGAAAAAATATATTAACCTATCCTATGTTGAAATTTTTCTCCATTACGTGTTGCTTCGCATTGAATTTTCATTGAAGTTAAGCCTAACATAAATTTTTTAAAATAATAATCATGGCTATTGTATCGTTAAAAATTATTTCTTTATTTTGTACAAACAAAATAAATATATTGAAAAATATAAAAACAAAAAAATTATATTTTGGAAGTTAATCTAGTATCAAAAACGTTCAATTCAGCATGACACAGTCTGACTGGAACGCTTTTGGTTAACCGATGTTTCAGTTGATCGGCTTTCAGAGAGACGATGCTCTACTGTATTACTGAATTATTAGTGCATATAATCTAGTTGCAATGCTTATTGTAAATGTAATATTTTATTGATTGTAAAATGGATCTTTATTTCAGGCAAGTAAAAGAAAGTTAAAAAAAAAATCTATATATTAATTAAAAGAGGGTTTCAGTTTGTCCAACTTCATTTGAGTAAATGGTTGAGGCTAAAAATACAGTTCAAGTATCAAATTAAAGCGCTTACCAAACTTGTAGATGATGCTGCTAAAGAGAGATTTCAGAAAGATGCAATGGTTCAAGCATAATGGAATGGCAAACACAGTTTGCCACTCCACTTAACTTGGTGCTCATGTGTTATCTAGTTAGTTTAGTTTGTTTTAACTGATCTTACTTTCTCACTTTTTGCATTATTTTTTAACATTAATAAATTTGAATAAAATAAAATTAAGAATCGCTTTTATTTTTCATTGATTTATTTTCCTGATATAATTAATAATTTTACGTTAAAGTAAGCTATTTATCTTAATTAACATACTAATTATATTACAGTATACATATTTTTTAATTTAACCATTCATTTTCTTATTTAACATTGCACAAAAATGAACATGCACATGCACAAAAAAAGCAACAGTCAACATCTAGACAGTAGACTGAAATTAGCTCTAGAATAGGTTGGAACCTGAAGAAACTTGAATCACTAAATTTGAATGTGTTGAAAAAGTTTCATTTTAACGACTGTTGCCAAAATGTAAAAGTAAAGTTGTATTCTACCTGTTCCCATAAACTTCTTGAGAACATTTTGTGTGGAGAAAACTCAACTGCTCAAGAATACCTAGCAATGTATTATTGAGTTATCCAATAGAATTTCTGTACCTAATTGAGATGAATGAACTTCCACCACCTAAGTTAACATTAAAGATCATTGCTGTCTGTAGTCATGCTCATCAGGAATCTTGACACTAAAAATAGGGTTGGCTAATGGAAAAAAGATTAGTTATATGTGGTATAACTAATCTTGTTCCATGACATTTACTGTGTTTAACAACATAATTAATGTCAAGATCCTGGCATTAATTGTGTTGTTAAACATACATGTAAGTAATGGGTGAAAACCCATTTACATGTATCACTTAGAATTAATGGGTGAAAACCCATTAATTCTAAGTGATAGCACTTTTCCTTTTACAATTTAACAACTCCAATTTCCCATCATTCTGGCATTCTTCACAACAATGAACAAAAGTCAAGGACAGGTATTTAGTGAAGATGGTATTTATTTATCAAAGCCAGTTTTCAGTCATGGTATGCTTCATACGGCCCTTTCTCAATCCAAATAGGAAAAGGGTTCTTACTATTCAACATATCCTCACCAAATTTAGCATGAATGAACACCAAGAAATACTGTGGGAACCTAACAGTATTTTTTCTAGGATTCTGAAGAATTCCTACTCCTGAAGCATACTCCCTGTAAACTTTAGTCCAAGCAATTTTTTTGTGTTATGAAGTTTCATTTTTGTAAATACTCAGATTAAAAAAAATACTAAGACCAATATACACATGCATACATATTTATGTTAGATATTTAGTACAACATTATTTATGCTACTGATAAATATTAATTTAATTCAAGTAATTTTTTTAGTTGTTTTAATGCTTTTTTAATCATCATCTTATCTAAGAAAATCTCATTAATACTAATAATTAATATGAACACTAATCAATTACATGTTAAAGCAATGACAAAGTTTTAAAAAATTTCTGGGAAGAAATGTATACTATTCTTTCAGTAAAAAGCATTTAAGAAGCAGTTATATGCATTATAATTTTAAATTATGTATAGATAGTTTAACAAATTAGAGATTTCATTTTTTAATAAAACTTAAATATAAGTTAAAAATTGTTTAAAAGAAGTGATTTCAAAAAGACTGTTATATTGTATATTTGCATAGATATTCAAAATATATTAAAAATTTTTATTAAATATATTATTACCTGGTGTTAAATCATCAATAGGTTTAATAATTGAAGTATTTTCAGATGATTTGACAGAACTGCTAGTCAATATAACTTTGGAACTTGAACTTTTAAGTTCAGAAATAGAAGTAAGTGATTCCATTAATCTGAATTATAAAAATATAGTAAGTGTATAATGTAATAATTTTTTCATAATAAGCGAACTCAGATTAATAATTAAGAAAGAAGAAAACAAGAAAATTTTAATAATTCATCTGAAGTAAGAAAGGAATAATAAATTTTATTAGTACAGATAATTAAATGGAAACAAAAATTACCTTCCTTCTGGTAATTGACGATGAAGTAGTAAATCATCCTTTGTTCGTGAAAAATTGTAATTGATTTCAGTATTGGTGGTTTGATTAACGGCAGAGCGATGTCGCCTTCTTGTTGATTGTTCCACAATGGATTTGGTTGTTTCTTTTAAGTATTAANTAAAATTTGACAAAAAACACGATAGTACAACATAAAGTTTTTGAAATATTAAACAAGCCTATTATTAATATTTTGAAAATATACTTGAAGTATTAAGTAAGTTGTTTATTTCTATTGTATTTATTGATATATGCTGCTATTATTGACGTGCAGTAAATGAAATATGATCTTTACGTGAATCTAATTGCGTTTATTAATTCGATTACACGCATATCCCTCATTCAGAAAATAGGTCTTGCCCTTTGGGCAAGATTTGTTAAAGGAGAGGTACATTCAAAACAACAATTGATATTTTTATTCTTAAAATTTGTGTTTTACCTGAAAAGGATTTAAATTTCTTTTGATATAAATATGTAAAATATAAATTGCTGCAAAACAAGCTCAAGCAAAATATTTATGCAGCATACTATAAACAAGAAAAATTACAGTAAACATTTAACCAGTGCTCTTTTTTACTAAAAAATTACTATTAGTATGTTCAGTACAGATGGTGACTGAATATATAGGTACTGTTTTTACTGAGCAATTGTAAGTATTATATACAGCTACAAGTGTATTTTCATGGAATGACTGGCATGCTGCATAAAAATGGGAGACCAGCAGGCCAGAAATCTGGGTTACTGGCATGCCAGTTAAACTGTGACTAAAATATAAAATTAATCAGATCTAACAAAACTAGTTGTTAATTAAATGTTAAAGAAAACATTCTCTCAAGTACAATAAAATAATAACATTGTAATTTGATTGACTTAAAATCAGGAAATCTAACCATAACTAAGGAACTACTTGAGCTTTTTTTCCTAAGTTATTGAAATGCAAATGACATTCAATCAATTAAAATTAATTTTTTTTTGGGGGGGGAATATTCAAGTTAGAAAAGGTGATATGAAATCAGCTAAAGAATTCCTATGTCACTTTCTGGGGATGTGAAGTCAACTCTGAAATTTCAGAATTGACTCCCCACTCCCATGGGAGTTTTTTTTAAATTTAATAATGCCTTTCCTAACTTGAACACTGATCAAGATAATATTTTTAATCATTGACTGAACAACAGGATATGAGGAGGAGAAGAATAAAGTCGCAGCATTCACTCCACCACAAGTTTGACCTTCCTGCAGTAGACATATATAGCTTTGCAAGTGAATTATAGATACAGATGGAATACATAAACACTAACAATATTTCATTATCATTTTTTGAAAGTTCATTATTATCAACATTTTATTAAAAAGTAAAATAATTACCATTTTCTGACTCATCATCCAAAACATTTTTGCAAAGAGCATAACATTTCTCACACAATCCATTTTTAAAAGCTTTAGTTCCACATCCACTTGTTGTAATAGTAACAATTTTATTTCCAACCAGCCAACTTGCTGTTTGCCCATTTTCCAAAAGAAATTCAGCAACTGAAGATCTAGAATTAAATTGATTTTATTATTTTGATCAAATGGACTTTCTTCAAATATATAAAACAGATTATAAATTAATTTTTTCTTCTCATACCCTGTAAAATATTAATTTATTTATATATTTCAAAATAGATTGATTTTGGATTAAATTTTATAATATTTTACCTCTTTGGATGATTAGAACACATGCCAAATGTAAATCTAGCCATTAAGTCCATGCAAGTTTCTAATAGTTGTGTACTTAACACTTGAGTTGGTTCAGGTGTTGATTGTGATTCACTTAAAAATGTAAATATATTATTAAAATCTATTATTATTTTATAATAATCATTAAAATTTGTACTAAATTATTAATTATTTCAATTATTATTAATTATTAAAATTATTAACAGCATTAGTAATCATTATTAATAATTTTGTCAACAACAAATTTATTAATTTGTAATTTATTGCTCTGATTAGTACAATTTTAGCAATATGAAGTTTCTAATTTAATTATTAACAATATTTAGTTATATGTGGTATAACTAATCTTGTAGTAATTAATATTAATTTCTGTCACCAGATGGCACCNGTTAATATAACATACTATTTAGATTAGTTAACATTTGAATAATAATTTTTATTCTGCAGAGCTTATATTTTTAATTTCAAAATTAAATATTTTTGTTTTTACATGTAAATTTTAATAAATTTATATACTCTATAATTAATACTTTTCTGTTTGTTTACAAATCTCATGCTATATTATCATCTTATGAATGTATGCTGCTTGTCTACATAAATAATATATGATGGTATAAATATATTAGTCCATTGCATGCTAAACAAATTTCTAGTCCATTACCACAGATATTATAAAATACTTAATTAATATAAGTTATATTTTTTATACAGAATGATAAAATAAAAATATAAATAAATGTATTTAAAGCATTAAATTTTTGTAACAGAAAAGAAAGAAAATTTAGGTTAACTTGAAAATATCGAAAAAAGGGTTGAAATCCTAAATTACTCTTTTCTTTTTCAATTTATGCAAATAATTCTTTTATGAGTGAAATTTAAACTGAGTTAAGGTTAATTATCATTATTTAAAATTTGCTCAATGAAGTAAGAGCTATTTTGTATCAATATACAGTCAAGTCCAGTTAAGAGAGCAGTTCACTTAAGATAGCACCTATTTTCTCCCCTATGTATTATATGTAACAAGACTACTGTTAACAGAGCACCAGATAGTAGAACAGTTTGTTTAAATGAAGGCTGTGTTGGCAGCTTTTTTAGAACAGCAGTCTTTATAAGGGAACACTATTCTTGGAAGATTTATAATGTTCTATCTTTAATCATATCACCTAGAGTGCATGTAACAGGGCTTTCTACACTACAGTATTTATTGAGTTTATCGAAATATGCAATATGATTATAAAAGAAAATGATTGGTAGAAAGATGAAGGGGTTGAACAAAATGAAGACAAAACAGAAATTTTTCATTAATTAATAAAACCTGCTTTTCATAAAGATGCACTGTTTCTATGCTTAAATGCATAGTGAGAAAATGCTTAGAAAAATTTTTACTGACGTATGTATTTTATGAAAGTGAGGAAATAATTGAAAAGAAAGCTGCAAGTAATACAAAAGAATATTACAAACTTTTTTAAGTAAACTTGTTAGGTTCATTTATTGCATGAATAGTTGAGAAAGTATATAATTCATTTCCATATTTGTAAATTATTGCAGAAAAATTTGATAAAAACTAACTTTATTTTTGAAGTACTATACTTATTTGTTTTTATACTGTATGTCCATTAGAGGGTATTCAGAAATTTTGGAGCAAGACTATTCACATCTTTTCAGCCTCTTACTGTATTTCTGGGAAAAAGTGAAACTAATCTAACATACCAGTTAAATTATATTCACAGTTTTTGCACCTTGCTATCATGTTTTCTGTTTCTAGCCATACTTGGCCAATAAATCTCATCTTAAATTTTTTTATATTCATGCCAAATGATCTTTATGCAATTTACAAAGTATCTCATTTCTCAATGCTTGAAAAACTACAATTATATTCTCATAGAACACTAAGTTGACAAAACTTAGTGTATACAACTTAGTGTACAAAACTTAGTGTAACAAAACTGATCTATTATGATTTTCCTACTTAAACATTTAAATTCATTTGGATGGATTTTCTGATACAAACTGCCATTATATATGTAACAATAAAGAAATTAGACTTGTCTTAGCCACACATACATTATACAAATGCTATCTTATGCATTTATATATTTTGCAATTTTATCCTTAGCGTGAAATTATTTTGGTAATCCTTTATAGCAGTGCTGGCCAACTTATAATGAGATTTGATTAAATTTCATGTACTAAAAGCATTAATGATCTACTTCACATCTCTGGAAGTTAAGTAGATCATTGGTGCTTGAAGTAGATTCCAAGAAAATTCCTTGAAGTGCTTGCCTGGATGAACATCTCTAGAGTGATTTCACAGACCTGAGTCCCCCAGAGCAGTAGGCTGATGTCTTAACTGACTTGGATATCTGGCAGTCTCAGTATCTTACCAAATAACTGCCAAACTGATAGTTATTTGGAAAGTTTCAACCACACCATGTTACAAACATCTTTATTATTAACATCTGCCATCAATCCTAACACTTTGATGAGTGGGATTATAGATGGACCTTCTCTTTAAAATAATTAAAGTGTGCATAAAGTAAAAATTGATCACTCATATTAAAAACTTATTCACTTTCAATAAAATCTCATTAAATTTTGTTGTCAATATTGTAACAAACTTATAACATAATTTGTAAACTGAACTTATGATGCAATGAAAAAATGTAGTAACTTTCAGAGTTCAAAACTACAACTGATAAGAAAATTATGTAAAGTGTTCATATTCTTACTAATTTTCAGAGATTAAATTATGATATTTTAACTTAGAATTGTAAGTTCCCCTTCTTTAAAATATACTTTTAAAATATGCAATACACAAGATATTCATAGAATAGAAATATACTAAACATTCTGAAACACTGCTTNAATTTATATTATAAATGCGAAAAATAATACATATATAAAATTAAAATTTAATTTTAATTATCTAATGAATTAATTTCAATACACGCTCGGTTTCATCTTTGTTATATCATACAAAAAAGACAATGATGTGATTAATGGGGGTTGTTATTAATTATCCTAACCAATTATGCTAATCTTGTAATTAAATGTGGAAAAATACATTGTTTTTCTAAATTTGAATATGAAATTCTAGTTAATATTTAAAAAAATACGGCGATTTGAATAAAATTTACTATTTAATAATTTTATCTGAATGCATTTTCTCATTCAGAACAGTATTTTTTTTATCATTTCGCTGATGAGATTATTTTAATAGTAATTAATTAGCATTTATATGAACCTCATTTATTATCTCTAATTTATTTAAATATGTGCAGAATTAACGAGGGAAGTATTGTGTAACAAATGCTGTAGGATATTCATACGTTTTTTTCATTATTAGTTTATTACCGGTAAAATATTTTACTAAAATACTGTAAAATTAATTCTAACTTTATTATAATAGTCAAATTTGTTATCATCTTCTTTATTTTTAAAATTTAAATATATTAATAATATTTTTTTTTCAGTAAAAAGCAATTATTATTCTTAAATTTTCGATTAAAATCACTCTTAAACATTGTTTATTTACACATTTAAATTGTATTAAAATAGTTCATTTGTCTTTATTCCATAAAACTAATTAATTTTCTGATTTATAAAAATATTTTACTTGAATTGAAATTTGTTTCTTAATGTAGCAAATGTGATTAATTGAAGTACAATGCATCCATAAAGCTTATCTCGCATCTAAGGAAAAAACTATTGAGGATGTTTTCAGTTTTTCTTTATCTTGACACGATTGTTAACTGTAGATTGTTGATAAATACAGCAATTAATTTTTCCCTGACACCAAATGTGGCTTAATTCAATAAGAGAAAGTTAACGACAGAAAGTCGTTAACTCAGAACATCTATTTTTAGGAAAGATAGGACAAGAAAACTCGTTAATCCTCAACACAGAAAGTTAGAAAAATGACAATTATATAAATACATTATTTATTTCCACACATTCTTTTAATTGTTTTGAAAATTGGCCGATGTCTTTCATAGTAAAATAAGCACTTTAATATAGATTTCTTAAACAATTTTACAATATTTTGAAGTAAAAAATTACAAATATATAGTTTTTACACAAGAAAAATACATAATTGTTTCGAATTATATATTAATAATACACATTTTATCATATGAGGATTTATATTTAGTCAAAGGTAAAACATTATTTCGCAATAGAATAATTTAAATCTGTTTTTTTTTTAAACTATGTACAAAAGATTAAAAAAATTACAAAAATCTAGAAAAATTGTTCAACTATTTGATTTAACAGAGTAAGAAAGTATTGATCAAAGTAAATATCGATTTTTTTTAATCTTTGAATTTGATGACCGATAATAGTTGTCATCTTTAGCTAAAGATGGAAACATTGTCGTTCAATTTATGTCATCAAGCGATAAGATATAAGATGCTAAACAATACAAAGACGATAAAATAATGCAGTAATTAGGATTGGAGGAATTAGTACCTTTCATAAGAGGGATTTCGTATCGAAATTTATAAAAGAAGAAGATTATCTTCACAATTGGATGAACTCTGTGTCATTAATTCTTGACTCTGTAGATTAATTTGATTGATTGAAGCTAATTTTCTTCTTGAAATAACTTATTGATTTATATGTCAAGCAATAAATTTCTACTCTAATTAGTATGCTTTTTAAATGTCTTTTAAATTGTTATCTCGCCAAAACTTTTGTAAACTGTATAAAAAAACAAAAAATCGATTTATTCTATAAATTATTATTAATTTTAAAAAGTCTGAATGATGAACCAAGAATTTTTAAAGTTATCATCATTTTAAGAAGGATTAACGGTTTTAGCATATTGAGGCAGTGGAGAGGAGAACCTATAGAAAAAGATTGATTTTTCCAGATAAAATTATTTTTACTGTATGTGAAAACTGATAAATTATGAAGACTTATTGAAATTCACAAAGAAAATACACAATTATTTTTTTAAATTTCATTAATAGTTTTAGATTTTTATTTATTTACACCTTGATAGCTAAACACCTTGGTTATCAATGTCATACATTGTTTTCTTGATCCATCTTACTGAATTTTTGTATTTGATAATCTTATTGTAATCCACAGCAGCATTTAACCTGCTAACACTGCTACAAATTAAACAAAACCTTCACAAGACCTACACCAACTGAACTGTAGTGGCTGTTAAAAACTTGACACTTACTGATACGCAGTTTAGAAGGTATGTCGAATGTTCTGTTTTTTCTATTTCCCTTCCATTAAAAGTTCATTGTATATGTAATTATAAAATAAAATGGAAGAAATGGAATATTTGATAGAACCTTCTAAATTGCATGTTTTGAAAATACAAATAACTACAAATAAGAAAATTTATTGGTTTCTTCATTTCTGTTTTGTTTATTGAATAATATTAATAAATTCTAAAATAAACTTGAAAAAATTTTAATATCAATAACATTCAATGACAAGTTTAAAAATCAATTATTCAGTTCATATTTGCTGTAAAGAATTAACATACAATAAAACTGACAATTGTTTCAAAATAGTTTTCTAAATTTCTGGTAATTCTGAGAATTACCAGAAATTTGTCAAGCTTTCAAGATACAAGTGCAACTGTCTATACAGGGTAATTTAAATGGTCTTAGACAAACTTTAAAAGTAGGTCAGGAATAGAAAAAGAAACCAATTTTTACATAGTAATATATAGTTGCAAATGATACCCACATGTTCTAGAGAGCATTGTTTACTGGAAATAAATTGTTAAAATTGCAGGAGTATGACACATCATTACAGTAATACTGAGATGGCAGACATGCACTTAGCTTGTGTGACAGTGAATGAAAATGGCACATAGTACAATTGTATTGTAAGCAGTTCCCAGACAGACATGTGTCCCATCATTAAATGCTTGCATGGCTGCATTAGAGATTGCATGAAACAGAATAATTTGAACAGCCATTGTGGTTGGGACTGAACAAAGCACACACATACCATGGAAGAAGAGGTCATACACCAAATTGAAAGCAATCCATGTACAAACACACAAGTTATTTCACAGCACATTGGTGCACCTCAATCCATGATTTTTGTGAATATTACACAAAGAGTGGTTACACCCATTTTACATGCAATGAATCCAGTCATTGGAACCAGGGATTACCTCCAGCATGTGGAATTTACAAATTGGTTGTTGCAACAATGTGCTGACAAGATTGAATTTCCAACATAGATTCTCTTCACCAATGAAACTAACTTCTCATGTGAGAGTGCTATTAATATTCATAATTTGTATATGTGGACACATGACAATCTGAGCTACATGCTCTCATGCTGTGCAACAGTTCACCATAAATGTTTGAGTAAGCAGTGTTGGAGACTGTTTGCTTCCAACATGCCAAACGGGTGTAATCATAGGATATCCCTGGTAGTGGTCTTGCATGATGTTTCATTTCATTCTGGATGTTTGGAGTATCTGCAAAATACTTTTCCTGTGCAACAGATTAGCAGGATTATGGCAGACCCATTGCTTGGCCACTATGATCACTCAACTTGTCCCCCACTGATTTCTTCCTCTGGTGTTACCTGAAAGGCCTTGTCTACAAGTTCCCACCTCCGATGCTGACCTTGTTGCAAGAGTTTTGGCAGCTGCATATGTCTGCAAGAGGGCTGATGTTTTTGAAGATATTCACCAATCCATGCACTGATGCTGTGAGATATGTATTTCTGCTGGTGGAAAGAACTTTGAGCATCTCCTCTAAACTTGTATACATACTCTATGTCTAATAAATCTGTTGTACACCTTATGTGCATTTCTCTATGCATGATTTTTCCTGTACTTCTAGCACGTGCATAGCTAAATATTCAGTGCCCTGAAGCAATTGTTACACTCCCTTGTTCCTCGGAAGAGGTATCGCAAAATTTATTTTTAACATTTAGTTTAAAAACATATATGTAATTATTTCGATTTATAACCTTACTTAATAACAATTTATTTGAGATTCGAGACATTTCAACAATAAGATGTTTAATTTAATAAATACAAATATAATAATAAAATATAATATAATTTTTTTAGTATGAAGTACCTAATAATATTTACTACATATTATATTAACTTTATTGACAAAATGTATGCAACTTTAGTTTCATGACAAATACATAATAATACATAAAAAACTTCAAAATGTTGTTTTTTGTTTGCAAATTGATCAATCACTTTTTCCAGATCAAGTTGACAAGCTATTAATTTTTCAATTGATATAGTAGCCAGAGCTAAGATGGTGTTGTGACATGCAGCTTTTTAAATAAGTTTGATTAATTTTAGTTTTGAAAAACTTTGTTCTGCTGTAGCTGTCATCACTGGTAAAGTTAAAAAACTGAGGCATGCTGCAATAATGTGAGAGAAGCTATTTGAGGCTGCAGTGTGAATTAAAAATAGTTCAGCAACGTCGCATTTAGAAGTAATTTCTTTTACCTCAGTATAAAAGCACATTTTAAATTAAAACAATTGAAGTCGAAAAATAGACGAAATGTCGGAGGAATATGCTGATTGTAACAATTCTGATTCTTCCAGAATACGTATTTTTATCAGATGACGCGACAAGATATGCAAGTGATAAGCACTTAAAAAGTGTACAAAATTGTCGAACGGATTCAAATCTAATAGTTAATTGATTAATTATTAAATACACAATTTTTTACAAATGTTTTCACAAGTTTTTATTTCACCATTTCTACACTTGGCATCCTCATGATTCGTGCGCCTGGAGCAATTTGCTCCATCTGCTCCATGGTAGCTACGCCTCTGCTTCTAGCAACACCAAGTAATGTTTGTAGCTATATGTTCCTAAGTAAAAATGGTTTATTTTGTATTCTTAACGTAACTTTAAAGTTTGTCTAAGACCTTTTGAATCATCCTATATGTCAGTCAATTGTGTTAAAATTTATTCTGTCTGATTGAAAACAAGAAGGAATATTTAAATGCATAGAAAATGAACAGAAGAGAATTTAAAGTGTCCTTTTATACTGTTTTTCCCTCACAATTACAAATTGCTGACATTTGTCAGCCCCTATTAAAATGAGAGTTTAATATTTGTTATTTCATTTCTTTTTGTTCTATTTTTCTTGGCTAATCAATTCAATTATTTTATATATTACATACAAAAAAAATACTAATTCAACTAACTTATTTGAAATATTAATTGAATTGATAGGTTATTTATTATCAATTGTTATTTAAAATTAACTTTAAAAAATGTCTTGTACATTCATAATGAATAAGCTTACTTGATAAAAATTCAAGAACAGGAACAGCTATGGAAACAGTTGCAGAAATTTTGGACAGACTGAGTAAAACACCAGGTAAAAGTTTACACATTGTTTCTTGCATTTCTAATGTACATTGAATGAGGGCTGTTATTGAATTTCTTGCACATTTAGTTACCAAAACAGATTGCAAACAATTAATCATTAATCTCTGTAAATTAAAAGTTTGTAAATCACTTTTAAAAATATTTATTGTTCAAATATTAATCAACAACATCTCTAAATCTGATTTAATACTTAATTCAAATCAAATGAGCTGCCAAATTATCGGGCTTTATAACAGCGAAATAATTTGGCAGATTGTTTGGTTTGAAGTTCAAATATTAATTAATAAAAATTCTACAAATATAAACAAATTTTAATTAAATAATACAGAGATAAATAACTAATAATAAATTACTGTTTCTTATTTCTTACTTGAATGTGAAGTGCCATTTCATTATGATAGGCAGCTAAAGCAGCTATAACAGGCAATACACATGACTGAAAATCAGCACGAGTTAAACGTGGTGGGGTATTTCTTAAACTTTCAGGTAAGCAAAGATTTCGATCACTAATCTGTAAAAAATTTCCAATTTTATTGCTATAAAGAAATTCTTTATGAAAGGTAACATAAGAAAAGACAATTAACTCTTTACACATATCCTCAAGAAACAGGCTTAAGAACTAAAGCACTTACTCTCAATCATAATTATAGTCAAAAAGGTAAACAGTTTAAAAAATTTTTTTCTATTCTTAACTTTTAACCTTTGTACAATAAATAAATATTATAACTTCATTTTGTGCAGGTTAGCTTAGTACTTTATTTTCAGAAAGGCATATTGAATATTAGCCAGAATAAGGCTGTATATAAAGTATTCTATATAGTACATAAAAATATAATTATCATCTAGAAAATTGTGTTTTATTTCTAACATTTCTATTTCAATATTAGTTGAATAGTTTAAAATATAATTCAAGATTCAAATTTTAGGATTATTTGAGCATTTTTAATATTTACTCAAATGATCCCACATCAATTTAAAAAATACACTCTTATCTTGTGTACTGAAGAAATATACAAAGTATTACATTAAATAATTTATCAAATCTTAGTTTATGTTCTTTTTCAAGAACTAATTTAAATTAGTGATTCAATCATCACTATTCTAAAAATTAAAAACAAGTAATTTATTTTTTTATAATTTCCTATTCAAAAATTATAAATTATATATAACATTAGACATATAACATTCTTACCATTGCGCATAAATTACTACAAAGAGCATTGACACTATTAAGACCTCCTATTACAGCTGCTTTGTTTTGTAGCAATTCAGGTAATTTTTGTAACACCAATTCTAAAACTGTCCAATCTTTTTCCTGAATAAATATTACATAAGACAAATTTAATTTAAAATAATATAAAAAATTATTATACATTACTTTTATTGACATGTGTATTTGCATATTTTTTCATATAAATTAATATTTATATGAAAAATATGTGCATGACATGTCAATAAACATAGCAAAGCATGCAGTTCATAAAGTATAATTATTTAAACTATATATGAACATTTGATTAATTTAAAGAATTCAGCAGTTGATGATGTTCTATGTGACATAAGTATGAATTTAATCATAGGCTTGATTGATTGATTGTTTTGTTAGTAACACCACTGCAATACTTGGGCAATCTGCCTTCTGGGAGGTCTTTTTAAGGGTAACTGGCCCCTATTTAGGTATTAAAGACATGGAGAAAACCTGGAAAACTCCACATGGCCAGCCTGTCCTGGCAAGGTGCAAATTCACAACTGAACTACCAGTGTTCAGGGAATGGAACCGCTTAGCCACTGGTGGGCCCATAGGCTTGATTGTCAACAACAAAACATATATATATATATATACAGTATATATATTCCAGTTGATAATAGAGTTTGGAAAAATTATTCATTAATAAGTTTTATACTTTACATATATACTAGAATCTACTTCCTTATTTTTGTCAAAGTGATTTTCCAGAGAATCTGAAGAATCAATGTTTAGTAAAGAACTTACAAAAGATTGTAGAGGCATATACCACAAATCAATAAGAAATCTGATAGGATGAACTGAATGTTAATAAACACAAATTAAAAACAAATGTACGAATGAACAAGTTTTAACTAAAAACTGAATACTTTCAGTTGTGACATTGTAACCTTTGTAAAGAATGCTTAGAAATTGAATAAAAACAAAGTTTTTTTTAAATTCAAAAGCATATTCTTTTTACAAGGTGATAGAATTTACACAAAATGAATAAATAGGAAAACAAAAAACAAAACTTTTTACATACAAACAAACAAACAAATAGAAATAAAAAGTATTCCATTTTTATTTCTATTTATTTATTTGTGTGCAAAAAGAAAGCATAAAATATGTAAAAAAATGGTTATTAATAGATACATGTACAAATTTATGAACTCTCAGTATAAACAAACAGTTTCAAATGTGTAGCCAATTTTCAAAGAAGGATGAAATAGGAGTATTAACTGATTGAAATTTGTGAATAAAGAAAAAAAAAAAAGGTTTTATTAACATTTAGCAAACAATAAGCATTGCACATTGAACTGTAAGTTTAGCAGGTTTGGTAATAGGCCTGTTTTGGTTGATAGATATTATACAGTATGCTCTTTCAAACAAGCTTTGAGCATTCTAGTTGTGACCCACTTGCAGACTACAATTTGATTTTTTGATACTTTGTAACCCTTTTTTTTATTTATTTCTATTTAATTATTTGTAAGTAAAAAAACGTTGTTTCTTGTTTTTCTATTTATTAACTTTGTGTAAATCCTACCACCTCTGTAAAAAGAGCATGGTTTTAAATTTAAAAAGCTTTATTTTACTAAAATTTTACTCATTTTTAAGAATTCTTAACAAAAGTTGTAATGTCATAACTAAAAGTACTCAAAATTTATTAATAATTAAAATTTGTTCACTCATACAATTCTTTTCTCACTTGTTTGTTTATTAAAAGTTTCTCTCATCCAATCAGGAAAAGAAATAATTTTACTTTTTAAATTTATATTTCAGTTTTTAGTTATTAAATGATAATACTGTACATTATAAACTTTATAGTCTAAACTTTGAATGATAATCTCTTCTTATAGTTTAAACAAATCAAATCCATTTTTTATTTTAAAATATTAGTAAAACGTTCAAATATTAATTAATTAATAAAAAATTACTTACTTGTTTCAAGCAAGTTATTATCACTTGAAATGCTTCACTCAAATCTAAATAAGAAAATGAGAGGGTGGAAAAGGAACTCGATTTTGTAGACAAAAGAGGAGAACTAATACTTTCGTTTGTAAGATCAATTTGTTGATCCCTAAAATCAAATTTTTTAAGACAAATGTAAAATTTTATGTAATGATTGCTATTACATTAATTTTATATAATATATATTATATTAATATGTAAAATTTACATACTGTACATACAAACATCTTTATAAAAATAATATTGCATACTTTGTCTTGATAAAAATAAAACAAACACACAATAATAATATAAATGATTCATTCTAACTAGCACATCTTTCATAATAAATTTTTTTAAAATAGTTATTCAATAAAATACGGAGAACCCCAGTCATTATTATTTTGATTAACATGGTTCTTGAGTTATTGCGGGTACTGATTTAATATCAAAATCTTAATAATAGCTCTAAAAATTTGAGTTATTGAAGTTTTGCACCAAATGAAAGTTTTCATTTAGTCTTTTTTATATCAAAATATGAAATAGATCAAGAAATTCACATTTCAGACTACTTTAATTGTTTTATCTGGATCTTCAGTATAAAATTAATTAAGTATTTCAATTAAAAATTAACTCATTCAAAATTTAATTTACGAACATTTTTTNTATACTGTATAATAGAATATTAAAAATATATTTATATTACTTAGTTTCATTCTGACTATTAATACTGCTACTTCTTTTCTTATCAATAGATTCTTCATTATTAAAATTTTGAAATAAACTAGAATTCTCTTCAACAGGTGGAAACATATTAGCTCTTAAGCCCTAGATTCATGAATAAAAATAATAAACCATAGAAATTAGCATATTTTATAAATATACATGAGTGTGAGAAAAAAAGCAAATACTATTTGAAGCTCATCTCTATATTATAATTCATTAAACACAAGAGAAAAATTAATTAAAATGACACTAAAGTTAAATTGTTAAAACATTACATGATGATTTTTTTTTACATAATCAATAACATTTTATCATAAAATACTAATTTTTTTTAATGTTAATGTTATCAGCAAATTTAATATGTTCATTGTTCAAAGATTAGGAAATTTTTGCGATATCAAGTTCAAAATTTATTTAAAAAAATAATTATTAATTAATGTTATTTAATTGATTTATGAATGTAATTAATGTTTTTGAATAGTTCAACCAAAAAAATTAATAAATTTATCACAAAGAATTGTACATGACAATTCTTTTAAAACAATGGACAAAATTTATTACCCAATTTGCTTTTTTTTTTTAGAAAACAAAAATGTACACTATTGTAAATTATGATGCTTCAAACAATGTTAAACTTTTCGACTCACATTACATTTATAAGTAAGACATTTTTAAATATTAAAACATAAACCTTTGTTATAAAACTTGCAAAATCTCTTCGGAATGGTATTCGGCATTTTAAAAACCACATGGCTATAACCCTATGAGCTAATGCCACAGTGTATTGATCAAATCTGAAATAAACATTTGTTTATCAGAATGTTAAAAATTTCATTTTCTTGTTAAAGATAAAAAAATAATAAGGCTCACTTGGGATTAGTGTATGGTAAAGCTATAGCAAAGATGCTCATATACTGATCCTCTACAAAATTGACATACAACTGCGGCAATCTGATTAAAACTAACAAAAATAATTAAGTTATTAATTATATATGATATATTATAAATAAACTTTAAAATTTATTTAAATTTTCAAGCATTATCAATTAGCAATAAGATTATACAGGATATTTCAAACAATTAATGCATCTTCTTAACAATTATTTATTTGAAAACCATAATAATATTATATTAACAAAAATATTTAATTCATTGTTGTTAATTTGTTAATTCTCTGTTCTATGTTAATTAATATTTAAATTCTTAAAATATAAACATTGTATTGTTATTATATTATAAACATTCTTGAATACAACATTTAATTTGCATAAAATCAACAGCATATTACTAATTTCATTAATAAATTTATTGATCAAAAATTAAAAACAAATCATATTGATTTGATAAAGAAGTTGGTTTTAATTTATTGCTACCTAGGATATTACTGGGGAAAAACATAATATTCATATATTCTGCTAAAAGTATTTATATATAAGTGATGCATATGAAAGCAACATAAACTATACAATGTGAACATTAGGTAATTATATTTTATAAAAGTGATACTGAAGAATAAATTCTGACAACTAATACAAAAATTTTTCAAAAGGAAGAATGTATTCTTTCTTTTGAAAATCAGTTCTTTTGAATCAATTCCTTATTCCTTGACACCTTGATTCAATTCTTCATTCTTCTTCATTCCATAAATTAATTCCTTGGAGGAGGTCATTAAAATGGACAAAAACATTAAAGTATAATTAAAATTATGTGGCATTTAAAGGTATTGGTGTGAAATTATGAGAAATGGTTAGTTATGTAAGTAAAATCTTAGATCAAGACAAGACTATTAATCCCAAATCAAAAGTAAGAGAAGAAATGTTAAATAAATTCTGAATACTATCAAAATGACAGGAGCATCATTCTCATAGAACTGTTTTATCAATATATAAGTTTCAGTCATGTTTTTAGCTAACTAACGATAAAATTTAATGTTTGTTTTTTCTTTATCTCAACAACAACAAACATTTGCATAATACAAAATTTCTAATGTAATTTGCTTGAATAATGAATGAACTGTACAGTGGTTCTTGAATAATGAACCTTGTACTTCAAATGACTAACTTGAACACTACAGAGTTTGATTGCTAAATTCAACAAAAAATTTACCTCAGTTTGAATGATGCTTCAAAATCTGAACTGTGCACACAGTGAAAAAATGTGCTCAAAAAATACAATCAGTTGTACACCCAAGTTCTCTCTCATTCTTGCATGTTTTCAGTACTTTTTTCACTTTATTTTTGGTACTTAGTTATATATATTGTGTGTTAATCATCAATTTTTAACACTTTCTTTTTGCCATTTATCTTTCTTGGCTGCTTTTGGGCACCCATACATTTTGTGTCTTTTAGTTCAAAATTTCCTGAACAGAACTTTTTAAACTACATTTGACATGTTCAAACTTTAAGAGAATCTTCCCTATATACCTTACATTATTTTACTGTTTGTGTGGCATTATAATCTTTCCAAAACTCAAAGCATAATACACCCAATATGTTTTTTATCTGAAGAAATTTCAACTTAATTTTATTCAAACAAATATGAAGTAAAAAGTTTAAAGTAAGCTTCTAAACAAAGCAATATTATGTTAAACTTATAACTGAATCACACATCTATGTTATGAATGTTAACTGTTAAAAATATGCAAAAACTTTCAGTTCAATCCAATATAATCTTTACTTAGTAATCACAGAATCCAAGAAGATATGGAAGCATAAAGCCTAAGAGAAAGATTGTAATATTGATAATTGAGGTGAAAAAGGAACTTATCAAGAAGCATAACAGCAGTACAAGTGTGGCAAATCTGGTGGCCATGTTTAAGATGTCAAAGTCAATGATATGTGACTAGTAAATGCAATTTTCAAACACAGTATTTATGTATTTTATTTATTGTTTTTGTGTTTTAATTTATTATTTAGGGTATTTAATTTTATCATTTTTATCTTAAATTATGTGTATTTGCTGTTTTAAGTTTATTGAAATGAGTATCATTTAGGTTTAGGAATGAATTAATTCACTTTCCATTATATCCAATGGAAAAACTGATTTGGACTTTGAACAATTCAAACAGCCTCCTAGAATGAATTAAATTTGAAGTACAAGGCACCATAGTATATATATGTTACCGCTAAAGCTCGAAATCCGTTAATGTGTACATTACCTAGCTAATCTGCAGATTAACTAGGGTGATCCGTTAAAGCTGCGAAAATTGTTCAATTTCTCAAATTACCTAGGTAATTTGCAGAGTATCTAGGTAATCTGCACATTAACGGCTTCCGTATCGTTAAAGTTCAAAAGTTTGTTTCTTTCACTTCCTTTCCCCACTCCTTCTTTTTACGTAGATAAATTTAAATCCTAGAATGCAAGCAAGCACCGAATTGGTGAGTAAAATCAAGAAAAGATTCTTCGCAAACCTCTTTAGCGAAGATTTAAAATATAATACGTAGTGTTTTAATAACAAACCAAAGTATGATTCCATAATTGAAGATGTAAAGCAAATAAAAGTTTCCAAGAAGAAAGAATCATCTCGAGATTATCAAATAATTCAAAGGTGTGATGTGTTGACTGTACGAGGCTGTGAAAAACTCATTGAGCCGTTGTCAGATGCGCGAGAAAGGTTTGAAAAAGTTTGTCCATGCCGGAGAATTGTTTGACATTCGATAAAAACTGAAGAAGACCTTGAAAAATTAGAAGATTCACAAGAGACTGTGATTATGAGATCACAGTCAAATCTTACTCAAGAGGACATTCCGTTATCCCCCGCTTCTACAGAATCACCTATAGAAATACAAGAATTTACCGATAGTAATCTTAAACTGCCTTCTATACCGTTGATTGATGATGCAGTCACGAAGAATATTCAGTTACCCTGCACCTCCAAGGAATCGCCTCTGCAAGTTGAAGAAGTCATCACTGAGTTACTCTCAACTTCAGCAGAATCGCCATCACAGTTTCGTACGGAGCCTGTAAAGAGCACTATACAAGACATAGTCTGTATTGTTTGCTCAAAAGCAGCATCAAGTGCTCACAAGTGTAAATCGTGTAATATGTTTGTTCACGCAGTTTGTGGTGAAGTAGATCCTAAAGAGGAAGGGTATGGTAAGAATGTATTGTGCATCATCTGTAAAAAGAATATGGATCAGAAAATACAGCGTGATGAAGCCAAGAAATGTTTAGAAAAGCAAGCAAAGAAAATGTTAGCAGTTTCTAATGCAAAGCACCCAAACGTCGATGAAGGTTTCGCTGTGAGAATTAAAGTACCCGAAGAAGACAGAGCAAAAACTGATGCACGTTCAATTTTAGCTGTGGTTCTTAGTAAAACAGAGGATGGCTTTTATAAACTTGATACTAAAACAGGTATTTTAAAACAATTGTATGCAAAATCTGAATTCAGTGTTTGCAAAGAGAGATTTTTAACGAAAGAAGATGGATGTCCCTGCTGTAGAAATATCTTTACGTCAAACAGCAATAAAACAATCCCTTGGTACTGGGCAGGGTTTCAGAAAATGTGACTGCAAATCTAAATGTACCACAAATAGGCGTGCTTGTCGCAAAAACCAATTGCTACGTAATTCAAAGTGTCACCAATCTTTAGATTGCACTAATAAGTAAGTACAATTTTATCATATGTTTTGCAAATTCATTTCCCTAATTGTAATAATATTTTAAACCGTTTGATTTTTGTATTAAAGTTTTTTTAATTGATTGATGATTGATTCAATCAACTAATTTGTTGATTGTATTAACTTGATTCTTTAGATATTGAAAATTAAATAAATAACATTATGTTAATTTAAGCGTACAGAAACGTTGCTGTTGTTCCAGCAAAGATCTTATTTTAACTTTACCGAGTGTCTAGTAGGTAATTCGCAGATTACCTAGATAATCTGCAGATTACCTAGGTAATTTGAGAAATGGAATAATTTTAGCAGCTTTAACGGATCACCCTAGTTAATCTGCAGATTAGCTAGGTAATGTACACATTAACGGATTTCGAGCTTTAGCGGTAACATATATATATATAAACCACTGAAGAAACTATCATAAATACAATGAATGTTGTTTCTATGTTCTTCACATGTTAAACGTTTTGAAACATAAGTGCTAAATATTTTCTTTATCACATTTAAAGTGTAAATCTAATGTATCTTCAAGACTAATAAATCAAGAATTACCTATGTGCAAAATCTCAAATTGCATTATTTTGTATAGCCTATACATGTGCATATGTCTGATCACAGTATTGTTAATAAAACAATTTATGTTGCTTTCTAAAAACTATCATTTTTATAAAAGAATATTTATTATATCTTATAATAACTAATATTTAAAAATAAAATCATACTTTAAAAGTTTCAATCAGTCCAATTATTGCAGTTTTTACATCAGTGATTTCATCTTCATTTATTACAAGAACTGTATCAGAAGGATCTTTTGTTCCAACCAAATGAAACTGATCGAATGCTTTTCTAATTACCTAATATATTAATAAATTAGTTAAAAATAATTTAAATTAAGTAAATAAAAAATTATTTTAAATTTTACTAAAACTTAACCTTTTCAATGATATCTAGTAAATCTAGACATTTTTTTGATGAACAATCCTGAATAATTTTAACTAAAAGATGAACAGCATCTGTTCTTATGATAATATCGGGATCAAGTTCCAGATGTGATAAAAAAGGCAAGACTATGTTTTCTATTAATTCATCCTAAAAGAGAAACAATTAAAAATATATTAATTAAATTAACAAATATAATAGTTATTAAATATAAATAAAGTTTTGAAATATTGATGTTATTTCTCTTACATTTTTATATGGCAGATATTGTTAAATCTATATAATTTAATTTTAGTTTATTGTTTTATTATTTTAATTGTTTAATGTAATGGGGAAATTTGTTGTTTAACATTATTATAATTAATTAAAAAGTTTGTAAGTCTTATTTTTGTTACCATAGCAACAATTGTTACAGTTCTCTAAATTTAAGCACTGTTTTCAGATAATGAAATTTAGAATTGTCTTTCATCAGACATAGTGAAGATTTATAATAAAATCAAAGGCATTTTGCTCTTATTATTTTGTTATTTTAATGTGTATTGCATATTTTTATTATGACATATGATTAAATTTGAGATTTGAATAATTTTATGCTTCTACCAAAATTTAATACATATTTGCATACATTTTAACATGATACAAAAAATATATAGTGAAAAACATTGTTACATACAAAATATGCTAAAATTGAAACATTAATTTATTTAACACAATGTTAACTTTTTGTTATGACATGCCTTTAAATTGTAAAATATAGCAAATTCTTTAAGGTGTAAAATACACCTTAAAGAAATTATGCAAATGCTAGGAAAATTTGCTGATTTATTTTTCCGTTGCTCTCCGATTTACAACTACCTGACTAAGAAATAAAATCGCCAATTCTCCCAGAATTTGACAAAAATTTTGAAATTCTCCTGACTTCTAGTTTCTGGCCTGTTTTTCTTGCTTTCATAATTAGATAAAGTATTCTTGAAAACCAATCTAAGGGAGGAAAGAAATTCTGAAAATCCTCAGATCTATCTATATTTCTAATGTTAGAATCCCATTTATGCTTACTTAGTAAACTGACTTGCCTGCTGTCAGTTTTAAAAAAGTAATGTTTTTTGGAATCAGTCACATTATAACTGATTCTGTGGCAATCTAACATATTTTAAAAATTTTTTATTTCTCTACTGTACACAATTTAAAAAATTTTTTAAATGTGTTAGATTGGTCACTTGGCATGATAAATCCTTATGTACAATAACCTTTACTGTTAAATAAATCAAATACTATAATATAAGAAACATTAAAATGAAAACCATATAAAGAATTTGGTTATTTTAGCCAACCATTGTCAAGCTTATTATGATACTCCGATGATATGAAATGGCACAATTTCATTGATCAAGTAAACAGCAATTGAAAATATGATATCTTAAAAAATAAGATATCATATTTTCAATTGCTGTTTACTTGATGAATGAAAGTTAACTTTGGCAAAAAATTATTATTATTATACATATTTTTATTTGATATTTGGCTGTGAATGAAACAGTTTGTTAGAGCTAACATTAAAAAGCTATTCTATTCAAAGCCATATATCAAATAATAATCTGTCAACAAATCAAATTTTGTAAAAAACAGACCAAATATTTAAACATAGCACCCTTAAAAATCACTTAAATCATATTTTGTGGTTGCCAGTAATCTTGTATTATGTAATTTTCCTATTCAAATGCCATCATACTGCTGGGTCTGATAAGAAGAAGGGAGTGTTGCAGAAGTGAAGTGAAGTAAATTTGACCAAACTTAGTAGTTTATCTCCCAGAAGAGAAGATGGTCAACGACTACTAATTAATACTGGTCTACTATTAATATTTGAAGTGATTTGTGTTGGATAGATTGTGATGACCCCGCATGTGATCAGAGTTGCTAACCTTAACCTATCCCATGTTGAAATTTTTCTCCGTTGCGCGTGGCTGCCATGTTGAATTTTTGTTAATGTTAAGATATAACAAAAAAATTTCTTTTTTCATAATAATTGTGGCTACTGTATTGTTAAAAATTATTTTTTTTATTTTGCACAAACAAAATATATACATTGAAAAATATAAAAACGAAAAAAAATTATATTTGGAAAGTTCGTTTTAATATAAAAATTATGATGCATAGAGACATCTAGTATAAAAAAATGTACTGATACTGTAACGAGATATATCAGGTTTAACCCTGCAGGCATTTGATTTTGTTGATTTTGAAAGTGGGACTTGCCCCACTTTCAAAATCAACAGCTCAATTAATAATAAATTTAGCAAATAAAATTGTAAACATATCTTTACTACTTTATAATAATACTTGTTAAAAATATATAATTTTCAATGATTGTCCATTGAATTGCTATGTTCATTTCATGTAACCTAAATTTTATTAAAAAAGTTTTTTTTTTTACTTACTTCATATAAATATCTATTTGTAATAAATACATGAGAAAGAACACTTAAAACTTTGGATCTGATTATCGTTCTTTTTTCATTCCTGGAAATTAAATTAATTAAATATTAGCTATTTATATACATAAATGTTAGCTTTCAATTTAAAAAAAACTATTAATTTATATTTTTTAAAAAGTTACTTTAAATTAAATATTTAACTGATATTATATCATATATAAATTTGTTATATGCATGAATATATTTTATCTAAAATAAAGAGTCACAAAAAGTTAATTTAGTTTTTTTAGAAAAATTAAAAAGAAAAACATTTTCTTATCTTGGCTATTTTTATTATTAAAACATAATACTGTAAGGTCTCTTTTTATGCGGATTATTTTTATGCGATTTTGAAGTTGTGCAGTTTGTATTTCATACAAAAATTTCTTGGACAAACATACATGTAGGCTTGTTTAGGAAGCCCGCGTATAGACAGTCTCCAAAAATCGTGGAATGCTCAAAGCTCACTCCACTTGTTCCGCTGACATATAACGTTTATGGATGTAAAGGACAGCTAGATCTACCTTAATCGCTTTAGTTCTTAGCAATTTTTGATATAAATGTAATTAAACATAAAAAATACTTAAAACTGAAAAAAACGAAAGAAATGCGTTAATTTTGAAGAAAAAGCTTCAAAGTTTAACTTCCTTTGTCTCGCCCTTCTGTGAAATTTAACACCGATGAGTCATTGTTTACACATCTGGATGACCTTGAACACAGCTGGAGTTGGATTTCCCGGGGCATTCTCATAGACGTCGCGGGAGGACAAGGGTTTAAAGTAGGGTGAACACTAGCTGGCCGTATATTTTTAAATATTTTTAAAAAATTTGGAGACTTAAAAAACATTCCAAAAATTCAAAAAAAAATTTCAAAAATGGCCTTAAGGATCGTGTTTTATGTAACACTATGTAACCTGCCCGAGTTAACTCGGGCGAGGAACTAAAGGGGTTTTAATTAACTCTTCACATCCAGATGTCAGTGATTTGTTTTTAGAGTGAGCTTTTGCAATTCGGGGATTCCCCTTGTACATGATACTTACCATCGACAAGTCGCTATTACATCATTCTGAGTTTCGCATTGAAAGGTATAAACTGTAATTGTTTTGAAATTAAATTTAATATGAATTTCTTTCAGACATTCGAAGTAATTTATTAATTAAGCAGCCTATTTCTTTTAATTTCTGCAAACTTTTTTATGCGGTTTTAAGTTAATTTTAACTCGTTGTTTTGGTTTTATGCGATTTTAGAAAATTACGGAACATATCCCTACTTTTTCAAGGCAAGTAAAGTCTTTTTTTATGCAAATTTTTTATATGCGCTTTTCTGTAGAACGTATCCACTGCATAAAACGAGACCTTACAGTACTTAGATATTTATAATTTTAATTTTCCAATCTCTGATTCAACATTGTATTAATACATTTATTCCTCTATTCAAATTTTAATTTGCCTTACTTTCATAAATTGAAATTAAACCTAAAGATTAGATATTATATAGATATGATATTATATATATATATATATCTCATTTAGGTTTAATTTCAATTTATGAAAGTAAGGCAAATTAAAATTTGAATAGAGGAATAAATGTATCAATACAATGTTGAATTAGAGATTGGAAAATTAGAATTATAATATCTAATTATTATGTTTTAATAATAAAAATAGCCAGTTTTAACAGCTTTTGGGTTGGAGATTTCTTACAAAATTTTATCAGCAACTTGCTTTCACTTGTTTTGCCTTGGTGTATATATATACACATACCAAGGCAAAACAAGTGAAAGCAAGTTATATATATATATACGTATGATTAAACTATCACTTACCTAAAATATTTCATCATAAGTTGATTTATATTATTTAACCAATTTTCTTGACTTGAATGTAGAAATTGAGTTTTATAATCAATTAATCGTAATACTGATTGTTCCTTCAATAAAAATTAAATTTTAAAAAAATTATTTAATACTTCATAAATTATTTTAAAATCTACTTGAACTTACAGGAATATGAGGAGATTTCTCTATTATTTCAAATAATCTATCTACAGATCCTTTATATATACCTGCATCATGAAGTTGTTCAATTGTAGTTATAAGATCATGAACATTAACTGATAATCTGGATGAAATATTCGATGGAAGATTCTAAACAAAATAAAATAAAACTCAATAATCAATCCAGTTAAGAAAAATCAAACCATATTACATAATGTAAAAATTAAATTAAAAATACATTCCGCTCATCAATAATTCTTAAATAATTTTAGACTCATTTTAACTAAAAATACCTCAGAATGTGCTTGTAATTTATTGATAATCTCAAGTATAAGATCCCAAGTCATCCCTAATAATTCTTTACTAGAATGTTCCAGAAGACGTTGAATTCCAAGCATGACTTCATATGCAACAATATCATTTGGACAATCTAAAACCTGACAAGTATTTCAATTATTAAAAAATTAATATTATAAATAAAATTTAATTTACTAATTGCATCATAAAATATAATTAGCTATCAGTTATTTAAATTTGTATAACAACAACAAACATTTAGTAATTATTTTATTAAAGTAATAAAAGAGAAAAAGAAATTTATGTAAGAAAAACTGATAAAAGACTAGAAACAGTAAAAAAGTGAAAAATATTATAAAATTATTAGATATGAATTGGGTGAATATATGGATTGATCATACAGTTTATTATTATTATTGTAGTAGTACAATATACAGTGGGTGATCGGTTAACGAACAGATTGGATAACGAACAAATCGAATAACCAACACTTTCGCGAAAGATTTTTATGTTCAGACAACGAACACATGATCGGATAATGAACACCTCACAGAACAAACATAAGAAGAAGCAATGTAAAATAATGAATACCAATTGGTCTTCCCATGTCTTCAGGAAACAATTCGAAACTTTTCGGAATGGGAGAAACGTCGACATTGACGCTCAAGCCGGTATATACCAATCAGATAGTATTCCTCCGAACTTTGAAACTCTCCCTTGTAATTCCAGCCTTTTATTTTTCTGACAAAATAATTCTTTTATGTATTTGCGAGACTTTCGGGTAGGCACTCGTTAAGTTTTGCGTCTGTTTTTCTTTTCGAAAGGTGAGAGTATAATAGTAAAGGTAGAGAGTGGGCAGAAGATACCTAATGTTGCTGGGCAGTATGGCATGAACAGGTCTACAGTAGGCCGCAGTTCAATCTTATTTAAGAAAAATACAGTATAATCCAGAAGACTCAAGCAGCTAAAGGAATAACAAAAATCACATCTGAGAAATAAAGAACATTGAAGAGTTCATAATAGAACCTGAAACGGATCTGACGACAGAAGAACGCCAAGAATCTCAGCGAGATATGTTTTTTTCTGAAAAAAAGGATTAATGCCTTTGAAGAAGTGGGAAGATGTCAGAACAACAGTCTTAGAATGGCATCAAAACCAGGTTGAGGCTTGGGGATTTCTACAATTGCAATGCTATTAATTACTTACGAAAAATCCTGAAAAAGAGAGAAAATCAATCGACATTAGACAGATTCTTTAACCACTTCAAACGGAAAAAAAACATGACTAATAAAAATGCAAGACTGTGTGTGTATGTATTTTTATTATTACATATAAATAAACGTAGTAAGAAAGTATATATTTTTTTATTTTTGGGGGGTCTTCAGAACGAATTAATTAAATTCCCATAGAAACCTATGGTAAATCGATAATCGGTTAACGAACAATTCGGATAGCGAACAAAGCCTTGGAACGGATTATGTTCGTTAACCGATCACCCACTGTAATTAGTTTTTAGTACTGTTATTTTATTAATAATACAAAATGACAATACTACAGACTGTAAAAAATTTTGCAAAATTAAGAGAAATGAGAAAAAAAAATGAAATGTAATATCTAAAATAAAATAGTACCAAAACTCATTACTATGGTACTTTTGACATTGCAAGCAACAAACATTTCATTTGTACAAGATACTATGCTCAATGTTGTCCCCATTCAAAAGGTATAAAACCTGAAGACAATGAATAGTGTGTTCAAAGGCTGACCATAATTGATTCTCTGAGATTCTTCCCACATTTTAGTAGATACTGTCTTTCAAGGCTACCAAATTTGCAGTGTGTCTCATAATCATACTTTTTAAGCATCTAAAAACTAAAAATCACAGATTAAGATCTGGAGGATAAGATGACTAGGCACTAGAAATGCATGGCTAATCACTCTTATCAGTACAGCTGTTATTCCAGAAACTGCTGTATGCAGCATTTGATATTGGGAGGCACACATGTTGTATGAAAGTGATTGCATTTTCAGGCAAGATGGAGCACCTCCATATATTGCCTTAAGGCACAGTTGCTGTTGCAGTTGGGATATGACATAAGTGCAGAGCATTTCTCAGAATAGCTGCTTTGTCACATATGAGGATCCTCATGATGTCTTATCATGGAACCGATATCTGTCTAGTGTCACAACCGATGTTCCCTAATTAAGGGGGAGGTGACAATAAGGATGGTGAGAAGGTGTGAACTACATATGTGGGTGGTGGCATTAGACATCGAGGCAAGAACTCCATTTACAATTAACACTTATTTATTTGAATACAAAATGCATCTTTCATAGGTCTAGGAAATCTCCTTTTCCTTAAAACTAATCTGTACTGAACATTGTACTGAATGTGACCCATCACTGTCGTCCATGACTTAAAACTAATCTAACATGACACTTTGTATCATGAAAGATTAGTTTTAAGTCATGGACGACAGTGATGGGCCACATTCAGTACAATGTTCAGTACAGCAATAAAGTTCCTAGGGTTCGTTACTCCTTGTTGGCAGGTCACTGTTCTATGAGGATAGTCCACTGACAAAAGAATCCCCACATCACTTGGATAAAGTTCACTGTCTTAGTGGGAGAAGCTGTGTCTTGGTGGGATCTGCCCTTCTAACCTTGAGTTTGGACTTCTTAAAAGGTTTTCATCTCTGATCAAATGTTCTGGTTAGTCAGGATTTCCATCTTTCCTCTTTTCAATTGTTCCTAGATTGTTGCTAGGACTATCCAGGACCAAATTTTGGAGATCAGATACTACCCAGAGATGTTTATTGAATTGTCATGACATCTGCCAATAACTTAAGAGTTTAGCATTTTTACCCCAGTTATAAGTATTACCAGCTGCATACATGTGACATTTGGTTTCCTTAAATATTTGTTTTTTCTGTTTTTGCAATCATAGAAGAAAAAGTTGAATTTCCATTTTATTCTCTCACACAAAATGACCTTTCTTATGATGTTTTTTCACTAAAAGCATTTTTATATAAAACAATTTTTGGTCTTTGGTCAAGACCTCACACACAGCATATGCCATAGGTCCAATGGGACTAGCTTCTTCAAAGAAGAATGGTCCAAGAATAAATGTGGTTGTCAATCCACATCAGACTAACCTTAGACAAATGCAGTGAAATATGCTAGAAAACAAGTGTATTTTCTCTGGTCCAAATGCAACACTAACAGGTGTTCACTATTCCAGAGGTAAAAATATGTCTCACCACTTCACAGGGTCTTCCATGGCCTTTATTCATCAACTTCTATTCTGGTAAGGAAGTTTAAGGAAAGGTCAGTCAGATTCTCCTGTTGATGACAAGCAACTGCTAGTTATGGCTGATCTTATATGCATAATAATATACCAACTTTCTCAAAACCTTCCACACTGTGTCATAGAATACATCCAGCTGCTGTGGAGCTTGCAACATTATTCATTGACTCTTCAACAACTATGATATCATCATCTATGACTAGTAAAGAAATAGGTTTGCACTTTCAACTGGGTTGATCTCCTAGACATACAGTTTCATCAAATCAAATAATCATTTTCCCCAAGAGTCCTTGTGGAAAATGATTTTCCTTGTGGAGTCATGGTCTAACAAATTCTTACAATTGCAGAATTTCTGAAGTGCAACTAGAACATTATTGTTGTTTTCATAAAATAGTAACCAAGAAATGAACATTCCAGCAAGGTGATGGTCATCATAGTTGATAATGGGATTCAACCATTGTGGCCATTACCCAGAATTTGGCTGCAACACATGTGTTTATGCAAAAGGAACTGCTTTTTTATTGTTTGCAGAGCCAAAAGTGTTTTAATAGTGAGTTTTAATACTACTATTTTTTTTTTAATTAAAAANTTAGTTTATTGTTTTATTATTTTAATTGTTTAATGTAATGGGGAAATTTGTTGTTTAACATTATTATAATTAATTAAAAAGTTTGTAAGTCTTATTTTTGTTACCATAGCAACAATTGTTACAGTTCTCTAAATTTAAGCACTGTTTTCAGATAATGAAATTTAGAATTGTCTTTCATCAGACATAGTGAAGATTTATAATAAAATCAAAGGCATTTTGCTCTTATTATTTTGTTATTTTAATGTGTATTGCATATTTTTATTATGACATATGATTAAATTTGAGATTTGAATAATTTTATGCTTCTACCAAAATTTAATACATATTTGCATACATTTTAACATGATACAAAAAATATATAGTGAAAAACATTGTTACATACAAAATATGCTAAAATTGAAACATTAATTTATTTAACACAATGTTAACTTTTTGTTATGACATGCCTTTAAATTGTAAAATATAGCAAATTCTTTAAGGTGTAAAATACACCTTAAAGAAATTATGCAAATGCTAGGAAAATTTGCTGATTTATTTTTCCGTTGCTCTCCGATTTACAACTACCTGACTAAGAAATAAAATCGCCAATTCTCCCAGAATTTGACAAAAATTTTGAAATTCTCCTGACTTCTAGTTTCTGGCCTGTTTTTCTTGCTTTCATAATTAGATAAAGTATTCTTGAAAACCAATCTAAGGGAGGAAAGAAATTCTGAAAATCCTCAGATCTATCTATATTTCTAATGTTAGAATCCCATTTATGCTTACTTAGTAAACTGACTTGCCTGCTGTCAGTTTTAAAAAAGTAATGTTTTTTGGAATCAGTCACATTATAACTGATTCTGTGGCAATCTAACATATTTTAAAAATTTTTTATTTCTCTACTGTACACAATTTAAAAAATTTTTTAAATGTGTTAGATTGGTCACTTGGCATGATAAATCCTTATGTACAATAACCTTTACTGTTAAATAAATCAAATACTATAATATAAGAAACATTAAAATGAAAACCATATAAAGAATTTGGTTATTTTAGCCAACCATTGTCAAGCTTATTATGATACTCCGATGATATGAAATGGCACAATTTCATTGATCAAGTAAACAGCAATTGAAAATATGATATCTTAAAAAATAAGATATCATATTTTCAATTGCTGTTTACTTGATGAATGAAAGTTAACTTTGGCAAAAAATTATTATTATTATACATATTTTTATTTGATATTTGGCTGTGAATGAAAC